CTCCTAAATTAAAGAAAATCAGAAAAATCTGTCTTCGAAATGGAAAAAAAAATCTACAAAAGTCAACCTTCTACGTATAAGAAGAATCAAAATCTTGCATTTAATTAAAAGAAAATGAAATTTTACTTTTTAAGTGGAAAAAATCCCGAAAAATTTGAAAAAAAAACAGAATTATTCTACGCGGAAAAAAAAATTTACAAAATGTCATCTTTAATTAAAATAAAATGAGAAAAGCTGATTATTAAATGAATAAATCACGAAATATTTCAACGGTAAACAAACAAAAATCGAAAAAAATCACCAGACAGATACGAATCACGTGATCCTCCTTCAGACGTCGATTGGACGAAATCAAAAAAACGACATATCAATTTCCTGGCAGCATTCCAACAACGTGACTAACCGACATTTGTCTTTTTACACGAGACCTTTTCCAAAATGGCCGCCGGTCGATAACACGAGGAAGAATACCACAATTTTGAACACTTCTAAACATATTTTTTAAAGAAATTAAATTAATTTCGGTAGTGTTAAGTAGAGCCTTTTGCATGACGCGAGGCCCCTTCCATTTTTCAGGCTTCCTATGTGTTTAAAAGAACAATGCTGTATTGTATTGTTTTGAGTAATACAATATGAGGTAAAATAAAGGCCTTTTTTTTTTTTTTTTGCTTAATACTCCCGCAAAAAATGGTAAAGTTGTTACTATAAGGCCTCAAAGTTCTTTGAAAATTGTTTGCAGAACTTCAATCTACTCGAGAGATGCTTGTATTAAGGCTTCAAGAGTTGTAATACCGAAAACACTTGACGCCTCGAAGATCTTCGAAAGCTCGCTCTAAGGCCTCAATCCACTCGAGAATTAATTGTAAGATACCAAGCAGTTCAGGAACTAATTATAAAGTTTCTTTAAGGCCAGGTCAAAGGCCCCTTTAAGATAGGCGCGGATTTAAATCGTAACGCTTCGAGTCATGCGTACTTTTAAAAATTGAAGATGTTTGTGTATTGGTCAGAAGAATCACGAGTCACGAGTCATGAGTCATTAATTTTCTTCTTCTAAGAACGAATGGCAAAGAATTTTTCATAAACATTTTTTTGTTAATAAGATAATTTAAAGGAGGATTGGTTCGTTGCGCTTCTTCCTTTCTTCCTGAGTCATTTGCCAATCGTATTTTTTCTTATTTCTGCCGAAAAAGAGGAAAATTTCCTATTTTTACTGTGGTTTAGTGAATTTTTAAGCCACGATTCGGAAGGATGCGCTGAATTAGTGTTAAAATGTTATTGTTTAGTTTTATTTTTTAATTCTTTAGTTACACTGTGACGTTTTCTTGTGTTGTTCCTTCATTTTATAGTGCTGCCGTGATATCTTTTAGTGTTATTTCTTCATTTTGTAGTGCCACCATAAGCAATCCGTTTTAATTTTTTAGTGTTATTTTAATGCCTTTAGTGCTTTATGCAAAGTGCTTCAGTGCTTCAAATACACACGAAACTAATGCTTTAGTCGCCGTAAGTACTCCATCTATTTGCAAACAAAACACGAATCTAGCGTACTTTTAGTGTAAGAAGTGCTTAATTTTTATGCTTTGAAGCTTTAAATATTTACAAATTTAATGCTTCAGATGCTATACCATTGTAGTACTTTAGTGTTTTGCAAACATTCGTGAATTTTATATTTTTAGCATGAAAAATCATAAATTGAATGCTTTACCATTAAGGCATTCTTAATGATTAATGTTAAAAAACTTTAAAAATATATATAAATCTTAAAAAATTGAATTCTTTTAGCAACCAAACTGAAAAAAAAAACAAATTTAAAGTATATAAATAATTTTAAATAATAAAATTTAATTTTTCAATTATTTTTAAAGAAATTTCCAAATTAAAATTTTAAAATATCCTTTAAAAAATCTTCAGAAAATCTCCAAAAATGAATACTTTAAATCTCAAAAATTGTCTTAAAAATCTTTAAAAAATCCCCAAAATTTCTTTAAAAAATCTTCAAAAAATACCTAAAAATTCTTCAAAAATCCCCAAAATTTCTTCAAAGAACTTCAAAAAATCCCCAAAATTTAAAAAAATCTTTTAAAAAATCCCTAAAAATTCTTCAAAAATTCCGAAAATTCTTTAAAAATTTTCGAAAAACCTTCTTAATGTAAGAAAAAGACACAGACACAGACACATACAAATTATTAATTTAATTCTATATTTAAACAAAAATTATAAATGAAAATACATATATTTTTTATATGTTTTCTTTTTTGGCCATTCATTTTAATATATATATATATAAATGGAATTAAAATGAATGGCCAAAAAAAAGAAAAGAAAATGCGAGTCAATAGCCATCATTTTCCTACTCGAATTTTAATTCCGTTTTTTTTATTATTAATTACATGGAAAAGTAAGATAGGAACTCGAGCCTTTGGTATGTTTCCTATCAGTTCAACTTTCCCTTTTTTTTTCCTTTTTTCTTCCTCGTTAAATAACGGTTCGTATCACATTTGCATACCACATGTCCCGAGATATACATGTGCTGATCTGACATAAAGAGGACAAGGAAAAAGTTCAGATAAGTCGTTTAAACGTTATGGCGATCCACTGTCTTTCTACTTTTATAACCGCCGAAATTCTCGGTAAATGTACGTAAAATGTACGGGAAATGCGGGAAGTGTACACTTTTTATCGTTTCCCACGACTCCTGCGGTGGAAAATTGTACAAAAGCCCTTCTAAGTCCCAAGATTTCGAGCTGTTTTGTGTGTTGCATCGAGAGTATTGCCTGTGTCTGTCTATCTTAAGTTATGGTAAACATATGGCCTAAATTACCATAAATGTATATCCCAGACTATGTTATAACACTAACTAACATTAAGTGTAGGAACTATAAATTCTACAAATGTGTAGTAGCAAAGGTATCGTTTTATAGGCACTTTATTGAGTCTAGTCTATAGATTAGTGTTATCGTTAAACAAAAGTTTGTTTTATCTCAGATTAAACGAGCATAAATCGTAGTAAGTAGATGATTTTAGTGCTTAAATTCTAACAAATTTGATGTCTAGTCTTAATCTGAGATACACGTTTACAGTGTTTTCTTAATAGGGCTCATCCTTGTAGTGCTTAATCTGAGGTACATCTTTGCGTAAAAAATGCAAATTTAATTGTATTTTTTACGTAAAAATACAATTTATGACGTATTTGGGGGGTGCAAATTCTATCTGTTCAAAAATTCTAACACACAGAACAGTGAAGCTTGTGTTAACGGTTGTGTTACGACTCCAATTGTTTTAGTATTTGTGGTGTTAGTAAGTGTTTAATGGAACCATTCGGCGGGTCAGAGGTCATCCCCCTGATTTCTAGTGTCTAATTTCTTACCGTGTAGGTAATAACGAGACGGTAGACCCTCTCTGGAGCCTTGTTGTAAATGCTAAATTTGGGTTACTAATGAGTTTTATAGGGCCANATATGAGGACTTCAGAGGAAGAGATGAAGATACTAAGAACAGAAAATCCCAAAGAGGGAAGCTAGAGAAGATTTTCTATTGAAGAAATCTTTATTATCGAGGAAACTCCTAAAGAGGAAGAGAGATAGGAGGGTTAAAAAGAATATAGAAGGATAGAGTATTAGAAAATATGAAGAAAGATGGTTTAACAGAGGAAGCAGAAGCAGAGCTAAAGACTATTTTCAGTTGAGAAAACCTTCAACACTAGAAACTTTGGAAGGAGGAGTATCATTCAAGTTCTTAAGTTACTCATCTTAAGGACAATTTGTAAATGCGCCCTTAATCTTTCCTGGAAATAATTAACTGCTGATCTCCACCTTTTATTAAATTAATTCCGAGAATTTAAATATATAAATAGGATTATAAAACCAAAATACGGCCGCAAAGATTTATTTCGAATTAAATCATCGAATTTCTTATCGCCCGCTCTCATCTTAAGGTCAATTTGTAAACATGCCCTTAACCCCCTCCACGAATAATTAACTGGCAACGATTTATGTCGTATTAATTTAAAACAAAGTCGCTTCTCATAGTCCCGGGGAGGTCGGAGGTTCCCAAAGTACTTTGTGTTTAAATTAATAAGCATGTGTTAGGGATGCAAATCAGTTTCTCAGAATCCCTCCTGGTGTTACCAGACTGGAGAAAAAAAGCTCGACCTTTAACCCTGTGGCTGTCAGTGGAAGAAGAATAAAACTAGTTTCTTCTTCTTCTTCTTCTTTTCAATTTGCGAATCTTTAATTAAATATCGGAATCAAGGGCAATCGACGTCGATTAAACAAAGGGGGTGGTTAAACAATTCAGGAGAATCCGAGAAAATTCGATACTCTTAAGCGGCAATCAGTACAAAATGGCCTTATACTTTAAGGCACAGCAAACCACTAATCAACAAACATTAACCCCTCTAACTGCTTCGGGTGTATTCCCGGTTTAGTTAGAATCATAAGTCACTTTACGCAGGCAATCACGTCTGCGAAAGTAGAGACTTGTAATTCTCTCTCAATCCCTTCCTCCTAATGATTGTTATCTCCGGGCCATCGCGCACCACTTTATGCTCATGATTCTGCGAATAATCATTAAGAAAACCGTCCCTTCTTGACTAATATCCGACATTAAAGGGCGAAACGGAGTTAAGAGACGTGACAGAAAACATCTCCGAGGGCATTCGAATGGGTAATGGTGCAATATCTATCAAGTGCCCAGATTCGTAATTCAACTTAAAGATACGGTCTAACGTAACCCGGTATTTAGCCAATCTATCAACTTCTCTTTTAAAAATATTTCTCTCCGCCGTTTGTTTATTCTAATTTAAGGCGATCCGGTGCCATTTTTCGAGTGTTTTTTGTGAAAACGATCATCGTTCAAACCGCCTGTTAAGCCAGAATCGCTCAGAACATTATAAAGGGTGCCATCATCATCATCATCATCGCGCGCAAAGAAAAAAAATAAACCTTGAATATACCGCATTCGAGAAGATCGAGGGTAATCCCATCTTTAATTAAAAATACGGTGATGATGAAAGCACCAGATGGTCTGGAAATTCTTCCATATCCACGACTCAAGGTGAGAGTAATCTCATCTCCCGGAGCAAAGGTTATAGGTCAGAGTGAGCGTTTTTAATCCCGCATTTAACGCAACCCTTTTACAAATTGTGGCGGGAAGATTCAACGTGACTTTTCGCGTGTTGCAGGCCTTCATCTGAAGTTAAATCGGAGAAACTTCTTTAGTAATATTTAAACAGGAAATGCGTAATTCTAGAGAAACATAAGATTTTATAGCTTTAAGAGAGTGAAAATCTTCAAGAATGTCTGCAATTAAGGGTTTTTTCCCCCCACATATTTATGCCTGATATGGCGCGATACGCGTGCTCCGATTCATTTTTTTTTCGTAAGTTTAACAGTAAATTCTTATTTTAGTTAAATTTTTAAACAATTTTAAGACTTTTAAAACAATTTCTGAGCTCGGCTTATTTATTACGTTTAAAATTNATATAAGCCTGAAATGCATATGTGAAAACAATAAAAGAAGTGTCTAACCTGAAAGCTGTATTGATAGTCTACTGAACTTAATTTGTCAGATTAAAGAGACATACATTCATAACAAAATAATGGCTATCATAAGTGATATTTATTTAGAAAAAAAACTTATTTACAAATCTTTTCAAAATACAGTTTGACCGGGATCTTCTAAAAACCGGACCCTAGACATTTGTCTCATTTGTCTATGCGATGATCCGGCCCTGCTGATACGGTAAATGTACAAGCCTGCTATTCTGTAACCTGCTTTGAGTCTGGATTTTCTCAGAAATTTTTGTAGATGAATTGACTTGGATTTATCCTTATCGGGCTCCAACTTTTATAACTTTACGCCCACAATAGAGCTGTCAAGTGATGAAGCTTTTGATGATGGATGAAGAAAGTATTCACTATTCATACATAAAATTAATTCCAATTTACTGTTTTAAAAATATACATTGTTATATAATAATTTCGTCTGCCATATATACAGCTTGATATATATGTGCCTAGAATAATAATTTATTGCTATGTCCAACTTTAATTATGTATGATTAGTAAAACTTTAATAAAGAATTTTTCATTTAATTTTATATTAATTGCTATACATTTCAATATAAATACTTCAAATTTAGAATTTAATTTAATTTATTTTATAATTAAAAAAAATAATAATAATAATTAAGAAAAAAAAATTAATCTTCCATTACGGAATTCTCCACCGCTAGAGGGCATTACCGTTCATCAATTAGACACGTGTTTAGTTAGGCCTAAGTTTCAGTATTGTTTCGTTGTTTATTGTGTGAAAATAATGCGTAAATTAAAATATCACGAGAAAAAACTATTGAAGAAGGTTGACTTCTTATCGTGGGAAGTCGATAACAATCTACACGAAGTGAAAATTATGAGAAAATATCATATACAGAAGAGAGACGACTACACAAAGTAAGCAAGCTTATGATTATAATACTTTATTTCTATATTATATAGGTATATACGATGCTAATTAATCGAATTCTTCAAAATAGATTATGAACTTTTACAGTTAACAAGGTATAAAAAAATTATTCTGAAGTAATGGTTTGTTTCTCATTTCATCAAGAGACACATCATCAGAAACATTTATTCAAACTTCATTACATGTTCTAGCACATAAGCCCTAGATGAATGGAGATACAAAAAATACTTTGAGTGACGTCTGTTACAAAAAAGCATCTTGGTGTTTTTCTTTTCAACAAATTACAGCTGTCATACATTTCCCACAGTCTCTGTAAATGACTAACTTGTTGCACAAATACAATAGGGTATTTTTGAGCTTAGATATACAATTCAGTATTTTTTAAATTTGATGTAAAAATCATGAAGGAAATTCTCCCATAAAAAAGGAACTAACTTTTTATTAACATTTTTAATAAAACATGCTGATCATAAATCAAATTCAAATTAATATCAATTGTTAATGATGTGCGCATTAGCTCTTTTACTTCTTTCAGAATGCCATTGTTAAGTTTGTTATCATAGATGTAAAATCAAGAATATTACATATATACATAAGTAACTTTTCATGAATATTCCTTATTTGATATTCTAATTCTCACATAAAAATTATACTTTCTATAAGAAAAAATTTCAAAATAACAGGTTAGTTCAGCAATCAGTGTAGTGCTGTATACTAATGTTATTTTGCCTATCAAATAGTCATTTTGTTGGAAGATAAATTACATCATTTCGTAACATACATTCTGCTTTATAAAATTTTATTGTGTTGTACTAGTGTATTATAAATTAAAGCATAAACAACTTTAAATGTTGCCATTATTAATTTATGTTTGTAGCTTTTGTCATTTGTTTTGTTTATTATTATTTGTCACCTTGTTTACCTTGATCTGAATCATCATCTGTCTCAAATGAAAAAGAAATTACACGCAAATGAAAAGGCCATAAACCATTTGCATTTGTAAACAAAATCATTATTATTTTTATGTTCCTACATTCTATTCTTTATTTTATTCACAGAATAGCAGAATAGATATTTTTTTTTTTGTTTTAATTGACAATATAACTAAACTATTTCAATAAATTTAAACAGTTCTTTCAATTGAATTTTAGAATAAACATTACAAAACAGTTATGTAGAACAATTTTTTTGATCTGTTATCGGATGGCTGATACGCAAGGCCGGATTAACTCACTTTAGGGCCCTAGACACTTTTTTTTTACCGGGCCCCTCCCTCTCCCACAAGAAATAGAGCACACAAAAAATATAAAACAGTAAATAAAACAAAAGTAAATAATGTGAAAAACTAAAACAAATCTTAATTTTTTATTAATAAAAAATATTTAATCGCTGTAAAAAAGAAAAAAAAATGTAAATTATCAGAAGAATCTTATTTACAAATGATATGAGTGTATGTCTCTTTAATCCGACAAATTAAGTTCGGTAGACTATCAATACAGCTTTCAGGTTAGACACTTCTTTTATTGTTTTCACATATGCATTTCAGGCTTATATAAATGCTAAGCCCCTCTTCAGTGCAATAATATGGTTCTGTCTTCTAAAACCACGGTGCATAACGTACAACATTGGGAAGAGTTTTTAATACAGCCATTAAAAACATCTAAAATACACTTTCCAAACATTCATATGGAAAACCTGTTTTCTCCATCCATTTGTATCCAATATTCTTCTAAATATCACTTATGGTAGCTGTTATTTCGTTATGAATGTATGTCTCTTTAATCCGACCAATTAATTTAGAAGAATATTGGATACAAATGGACGGAGAAAACAGGTTTTCCGTATGAATGTTTGGAAAGTGTATTTTAGATGTTCTTAATGGCTGTATTAAAAACTCTTCCCAATGTTGTACGTTATGCACCGTGGTTTTAGAAGACAGAACCATATTATTGCACTGAAGAGGGGCTTAGCATTTATATAAGCCTGAAATGCATATGTGAAAACAATAAAAGAAGTGTCTAACCTGAAAGCTGTATTGATAGTCTACTGAACTTAATTTGTCAGATTAAAGAGACATACATTCATAACAAAATAATGGCTATCATAAGTGATATTTATTTAGAAAAAAAACTTATTTACAAATCTTTTCAAAATACAGTTTGACCGGGATCTTCTAAAAACCGGACCCTAGACATTTGTCTCATTTGTCTATGCGATGATCCGGCCCTGCTGATACGGTAAATGTACAAGCCTGCTATTCTGTAACCTGCTTTGAGTCTGGATTTTCTCAGAAATTTTTGTAGATGAATTGACTTGGATTTATCCTTATCGGGCTCCAACTTTTATAACTTTACGCCCACAATAGAGCTGTCAAGTGATGAAGCTTTTGATGATGGATGAAGAAAGTATTCACTATTCATACATAAAATTAATTCCAATTTACCGTTTTAAAAATATACATTGTTATATAATAATTTCGTCTGCCATATATACAGCTTGATATATATGTGCCTAGAATAATAATTTATTGCTATGTCCAACTTTAATTATGTATGATTAGTAAAACTTTAATAAAGAATTTTTCATTTAATTTTATATTTTAACCCATATTTTTCTTTCTTCATGTTCTCGATATGTCACTGACATATCAAGAATTTTGAGAATATGGATGCTGCTCAAGGCAGATTTGGGGAGACCAAGGCACCTGCCGCCTGTCGTTTTTGGAGAATGTTACTCAATTATTACTTTAGTTATCTAATCTTACTAATTGAAGCCTTGTGATATGCATTATTATACTGTATTTATTTTTATTTTAAAGTAACAAAACTGATTGCTTTGATATCAAGAGGGTGTGCTAAACCACCATAAACCTGAATATGCTTGTCACTTGTTATATTGTAATACTATACTTTAGAATAACAGTAGTTTTTATAGACTAAGAGTATAAAAAATTTCAAAATACTTGAAATACATTAATAATACTTTTGAATTCTTTGTCAAGTTTAAAAAGCATAGCTGTTAAGTCTATGCATTAAGACATATATTGATAGACTTCTCCAGAGTTAGTTCATGGTCTACAGTTTATAAGTTGATGTCATTTAGGCTCCATGATAAATGATAAGTTATGCATCAGAATTGAAGTAAAATATACGAGTTCCTATCTTTATTTGATATATATGCTATTGTTTTCTATTTCTTTTAAATATAATTTATTAAATTTAACAACTTTAAATTGTTTTATCAGTTCATATGTCATAGCTTAATTTTTCTTTTATGGTATATTTTCATTATAATTAATAATTGTTAATATAATAACAGCAGTTTTTTAAAAATATTTTTAAATTGTGACAGTGAATGAATACTTTATGATCACTTAGGAAAATCCCAGAGGAATTGAGAAATTCACAACAGTTCAAACATTGCCTCGGGTAGAGGAACATCATTGAATACAATGAGCGAAACAAGTACTCATCTGTCATCCTTTATCATTAGATACAGCATATAGTTTCCAATTCATATGAACATATTAAAGTAAATTGGCTTATTTTACACAATTGTCTGATAAAGACGTGTAATTATTTAAGTACTAATTAAAATATAGAGTAGAAAAAAGTGAGAAGATATAAATCTAATTTTAATTTAAATGATTGTTTAATTCTTTTTCATTTGGCCCATTTCTTGCTTCAATTTTGACATTTTTTTTGTTTTTTCATCTCTTTCTCACTAACTTAATCGTTTATTATGGTTATTCATTGAAAATTTTTCTATCGCCCACTAACTCTCAGTATTATCCACTACACTTTTCTATGAAATACTAAAGGCCCCTTCTGTTATCTTCTCATTTAAAATGCACTTCTAAACAACAAGCCAATTGTGAACGAAAATTTTCCCCTTTAGATAACTATACTGTTCTGTTTCGTCACTACATTTGCTCTCAAATTATAAATATAGAGAATATTTTTGCATAAAAGTGCTGTTCTGCTTAGTTTTTAGTTATTAGTCAAACTTTCGAAGACAAAAATTCACTTTTAATTCATCGTTTAAAGCAGTTGGTTTAAAGGTTTAAGCATGAAATGGGACGATGACGTCAGTTGGATAACCTTGAAACAACCCTCACTAGAGGTTTTTTTCCCTGTTATCTTCTCTTTTAAAATACATTTCTAAACAGCAAGGCTGTTGTTGACAAAAGTTTCTCCCTTTACTTAACTCTATTTCGTCACTACGCTCGCCCTTTACAGATAGGATTTTTGCTTGAAAATGCTGTTTTGAGTGGTTTTCGGTTCGTGGTAGCTAACCGTTTGAAAACTAATTCATTTTTAATTCATCGCGTAAGCATTTAAACACGAAATAAGACAAAGACGACAATTGTGTGACCTTGAGACAATCAAGATTATTTTACACATCATAAGCAAATATTCGAGAAAAGGCAATAAGTATGATCTGAAGTCCTCTTGTATCTGTAAGTCTGGTCATTCACCAGTAAAAAAAAAGTAGTGGAATGACAGGTGACAAGTTGTTAATTAATCTCCCCATATCACAACCTGGCACGTATATAATAAACCAAATATGCAGCACAAGTGCAAATTTTATTATTCAGAACATTACCAATTTCTTTTTAATTTTCTTCTTTCTTATTTTTAATTATAAATATCCTGTTTATGAAGTAACTTAATGATTAAAGTATTGTGCGAATGGATTATCTAATGTTATACATTGTAAAAATTAAAATATTTTTATACAATAAAGTGTTAAAAACTTATAATTAAACTGCATCTTTTCTACACAATGAATTTTATACTGTATATATGTATGGCATCTAAATAAGATATTAAAAAGTCTTATTGCATATTAGAATCATTGTTCATTATAATGGAAGATTAACAAAGAGAAATTATTATATTTTCTTATTTTTATTGTTTCTTTACAGTGCAAAGTTTGATAAGTCCGAAAATTGTTCTTTGAACTTGACAAAATTGGCTTTATTAATGTGGAAAGTAATAAATCTGAAGATTAAAACAATTCCTTCTGTTTATAATGAACAAACGAGTTATTCAGTAACTGGTTTCCGAGAAAAGAGCAATTTTTATTCACTTTTTTTAAGAAGAAAAAAGTAATAGAAAAGTGTAACAACGGATCGACACTGTTTTTCCACTAAGCATCGCTTTTCAATGAGCCTATTGTTTGCGCTGTTAGATAAAAGAAATGCAGTTTGATCTTTTGGATTTTTCTCTAATTATTGGAGCAAAGTTCAAATAAGAGATTTTTTTTAAAATAGTATCAAATTTAAGTGAATTTTTAACAGTAATTCTTCTTTTTAAATTAATCAATTATTGCTTTAAAATTGAATCTGCAAAGAAACCTGCTATTGAAGTCGATATCATGTATCTTCTCAAATACTTTCAGGCTGATTAAGAGTAATTTTGAGGAACTTATGGATAAAAAAAAAAAAAACAGTCCTTTGAACACAAAATCGTCATTATAAGGACCGTTTTTTAGTAATAAATTTTTCCGAAGTTGGACTTAATTAGTGTAAAAAGACTTGGAAGTTGCCGTGTTCAGTAAAATAGGTGGCATCTTTGCGTATTTGTGACGAGTCGGACTGTTTACTCGATTTTTTTTTGTTACCATTAAATTTTATTTTTTTTAAAAAGTTGAAGTCTGCCTCCATGTATTTTTAATGCTGATGGATGAAGTCGAGAAGTGATAAATGTCGTGACAATTTCTCTTCGTCGCATATACGATTCCCATCCTTCAAAATTAAAAACTTGAATGTGGCAATTTAACCTATTTTCACAATCTTCCTTTACATTGACATAATACACTTTCACACAGGAGTTTGTTTGTCTTCTTTTAAAAAAAAAAGAAAAGGAAGGGGGACTAGATTTTGTAAATATGTTGTAAAGTAACTATTAAAAAAAAGGAGATTTATTATACTATTCACATATAGTCTTGTTATACTTGTATATTAAAAGTTTCCCTGTATAAAAAAGTCTTATCTAGAATAATTACTAGGGTAATATATATACAAAATAATGAAGTAATTTATAAACCTATTGTTTTTTTTTTTCTTTCTCTCTTGTGAAACATTAACCTACTTGATGCTAGTTTTAAATCGTTTCCGACCATCCCATTCTCTCCGACTCGTTGGAAGAAGGTCGCACGTTCCGTCATTAAGTTCGGGAATCGAATTAAATTTTCAAATATACCATTCGCAGATTGCACAAAGTCCAAATTGCCAGACAGAATTCAATTTTATTTATTATTTAATTTTTTTAAAAAAATTAAATTTGTATATCTTGGTCGTTAAACTTCAAACTTGTATAACTAGTTGTAAGAATGGGAATAGCTCGATTTTTACAGTTTGTAATAATAGTAGCGAAGCCGAATAAATAATAAATTAACTAATTAAATTTATTGGCGGTTCAAAAAAAAATTAAAACTACCGCCGGGAAATTTTTTAATCCGTGTTTTGAGATCTTTCGACCTTTACCTCCAATAAAAGTTAATCATTAACGTCGAACGCCGATCAAATCGACTCTCGTGTCGAGAAATATTTCAAATTGTAATGATAGAACAGGTCTGTATAACTTTTTCTTTTTTAATTCTTAAAATATATAGAGACCAGTTTCATGAAATTTCTTTGAAAATGTAGCAAGAGCAAAACAGGACTCGCATTCTTCAATTTATTTTTTTTTAAAAGAAAGAGAAGTTGAATGTGAAAAATAATATGAATATTTTTATTATTCAAACAAGCAAAATGTTGATTGTCAAAGATACATTGAATCCTCTATTAAACTTGATCTAAATATTCATAACTATGGCAATTATTAGTGAAGAAGTGCAAAAATATAAAGTTGAAAATTACATTTGTTTTGCTTGTAGTTGATATAGAATCAGAATGAATGAATGATTTTAATTAATGAATATCAAAGTTGAATTTAGCATTGATATTCATTAAAATTAGTAAAATATAAAGCGCACATATTTTTAATTGCATTTTTTATGTACCGTACTTACCTACTGAATTCGAATCAATAGTTCCCTCGCTCCGTTTAGATATTTTTTAAGCAATAGTTTAGTAAATTAAAGTAATTTCAGCATTAAAAATGAGTTTTTTTTAATCATTAATTCTATAAATTAAGAAAAATTTACCATAAATTACATGAGGACTTCAAACAAAAAGTTGACAAAAGTGATGTTACTAGGAGATAAACTTAACAGCAATTAATTATGAAGCTCTTATCACAAGAGATGTACTTAAATCTATACATTGACATAAATATAAACATTTCAAATAGCAATTATATATGACTTGATGATGCTAAGTGCAAATTTATTGCATGTTAAGTAGGTCCTTTCCCCTAAACGTTACATTATACAAGTCAAGTTTCAAGTAATGCAAATTGATTGAATGCTGTCATCGTGCTAAACATAAGAAAAATTATTCAAATTAGAGTTAAAACTAGTCAATTTAATGTGTGTTGCATAAATTAATCTTGCAATTGGAGTGTACCAGAAAACAAAAGAACTCGTAGAGATCGTGCCCCTTCCCATCGTGATATTTAGATTTTTGCATGATAATTTATGCCGAACTCATTCAAAGAAAAAGCAAACTAGGAAGTGGAGTGTGAGTGCAATTCATAAGAGGCTTGGTCCATTTGTCTGTCCATAACTTCCTATTTCCTTCAAACCAGATGATATGCAAAGCCACACCTCTATTAAACCTTTAATTTTTTCATGCATTTTATATATAACGCACATGTGTGTAGTTTATTATTCTAGATATTTTTATTTATTCTATTATTAAGTAAATTTAACCTATTATTGGTTCTCTAAATAATGAATTTTATTTAAAGGTACAATAAACTGTCCAGAGAAATTCGAGAATTGTCCAGGAACATAAAAGAACTGGATTCAAAGGATCCGTATCGAGTGGAGTCGACGGCCCTTCTCCTAGAAAAACTGCAAGTATAATTTAATTTTGTTATTTTTAAATGTATAAATATTAAAAATTCATGATAACAGTTTAATTTTAAAACAATATATATGAAGTTTCAAAGCAATAAAATGGCTTTCGTCGACCTATAAATTTATCAAGACGTGCAAAATATAGATTTAATAAGTAATTATGATCCATATATAAGTCAAATAAAAGGAAATTGAATTATTTTTTAAGTATAAAAGTCAAACTAGGTTTGAATTCTATGAATAATTTTCATTAAATACTATTAATAATAGAGTAACACAAATTTTCAGAATTTAAATGCATAAAATTGACTTATTTTCTGGACTGTAAAACACATTTAGAATTAAATTAATTAAATCACAATTTATCTAGAATTAAATCATTGAATTTCTTACTGTCTGCACATGTCTTAAGGGCAATTCATAACCGTTGCTCTTTCCCCTCCTCCAATAATCAACTCGAATGTTTCATGTTGAGATTTCAATCAGTTTTTGAGGGTTTAATTACATAAAATTCACTCATTTTGTAAATTATAAAATGCACGATAAGTCTAAAAAGATATATTTAAAGTTATAGAAATCGGAAAATGCAGGAGAAATTAAAAAAAGACCCGAAATATGAGGACTTCAGAGGAAGAGATGAAGATACTAAGAACAGAAAATCCCAAAGAGGGAAGCTAGAGAAGATTTTCTATTGAAGAAATCTTTATTATCGAGGAAACTCCTAAAGAGGAAGAGAGATAGGAGGGTTAAAAAGAATATAGAAGGATAGAGTATTAGAAAATATGAAGAAAGATGGTTTAACAGAGGAAGCAGAAGCAGAGCTAAAGACTATTTTCAGTTGAGAAAACCTTCAACACTAGAAACTTTGGAAGGAGGAGTATCATTCAAGTTCTTAAGTTACTCATCTTAAGGACAATTTGTAAATGCGCCCTTAATCTTTCCTGGAAATAATTAACTGCTGATCTCCACCTTTTATTAAATTAATTCCGAGAATTTAAATATATAAATAGGATTATAAAACCAAAATACGGCCGCAAAGATTTATTTCGAATTAAATCATCGAATTTCTTATCGCCCGCTCTCATCTTAAGGTCAATTTGTAAACATGCCCTTAACCCCCTCCACGAATAATTAACTGGCAACGATTTATGTCGTATTAATTTAAAACAAAGTCGCTTCTCATAGTCCCGGGGAGGTCGGAGGTTCCCAAAGTACTTTGTGTTTAAATTAATAAGCATGTGTTAGGGATGCAAATCAGTTTCTCAGAATCCCTCCTGGTGTTACCAGACTGGAGAAAAAAAGCTCGACCTTTAACCCTGTGGCTGTCAGTGGAAGAAGAATAAAACTAGTTTCTTCTTCTTCTTCTTCTTTTCAATTTGCGAATCTTTAATTAAATATCGGAATCAAGGGCAATCGACGTCGATTAAACAAAGGGGGTGGTTAAACAATTCAGGAGAATCCGAGAAAATTCGATACTCTTAAGCGGCAATCAGTACAAAATGGCCTTATACTTTAAGGCACAGCAAACCACTAATCAACAAACATTAACCCCTCTAACTGCTTCGGGTGTATTCCCGGTTTAGTTAGAATCATAAGTCACTTTACGCAGGCAATCACGTCTGCGAAAGTAGAGACTTGTAATTCTCTCTCAATCCCTTCCTCCTAATGATTGTTATCTCCGGGCCATCGCGCACCACTTTATGCTCATGATTCTGCGAATAATCATTAAGAAAACCGTCCCTTCTTGACTAATATCCGACATTAAAGGGCGAAACGGAGTTAAGAGACGTGACAGAAAACATCTCCGAGGGCATTCGAATGGGTAATGGTGCAATATCTATCAAGTGCCCAGATTCGTAATTCAACTTAAAGATACGGTCTAACGTAACCCGGTATTTAGCCAATCTATCAACTTCTCTTTTAAAAATATTTCTCTCCGCCGTTTGTTTATTCTAATTTAAGGCGATCCGGTGCCATTTTTCGAGTGTTTTTTGTGAAAACGATCATCGTTCAAACCGCCTGTTAAGCCAGAATCGCTCAGAACATTATAAAGGGTGCCATCATCATCATCATCATCGCGCGCAAAGAAAAAAAATAAACCTTGAATATACCGCATTCGAGAAGATCGAGGGTAATCCCATCTTTAATTAAAAATACGGTGATGATGAAAGCACCAGATGGTCTGGAAATTCTTCCATATCCACGACTCAAGGTGAGAGTAATCTCATCTCCCGGAGCAAAGGTTATAGGTCAGAGTGAGCGTTTTTAATCCCGCATTTAACGCAACCCTTTTACAAATTGTGGCGAAGACAGAAAGGTTTTCGAATTTTCTATATTAATAACGACAACGTCGCAGACAGCTGTCGAATTCTCCCCTCTCGTATCGCATTTCTCCAACTCTTTTTTACTCTTGGCACTTTTTGCTCCGTCACACGAGACTCTGTACTTTTGACCTCTTACCCCAGCTTCTGATTCTTCAACTACTGTCCGTCTGTCTGACAAGATACCATTAAATTAAAAAAAAAGAGAGGAGAAAGAGTTAACTGTTATCCCCTCCAGCCTTAATGATGTAGATGTGTCCCAGAAAATGGTCTTTGTTTGGCTCCTGACAATGAAGGATAGAACTTAATTACCAGAAGGGATTTTTCAGACCCCGATCAAACAAAGGATGCGTTTAATAGTAGTTATTAATTTGATCGAAGTAGACAGGCAGAAACGCATACGATCCCCCGTACAACTACTACTACTAATACTTCGGCTCTCTCTCCCCCCCCCTCTTGCATGAAATTCATCTTTCCAACTCTGGGAGACCGAGCGGACAGCATTCGTGAGAGAATGTAGATTCTACATACATCATTTCAAAAACCGTATTTCACTGGTTATTTTGCAAAACAGGAGGGGCAAAGTTCTAGAAATATCTTCACGTCTGCCCTTTCTCCCCTCCTAGCTGTGAGCTAAGGTAATAACAGGATCTTATCTAGCATAACGATCCACCCACCAGGAGAATCTTCCTCCTCGGGACGTGGGCAGAGTTTCTGCAGAAAAATGTATATTAAACTCCCCCCCATCTTTAATACGTCCGACTTATATTCGAGGTCGTTGAATGTTTGCTTCGTCTGCAAAATCTTGCACTTTGTCACCCCCTTTTTTTTTGGTGTTGCTGCTGTTGGTGCTTCGAGTAATCGGATACTGTCGCCGAGAGAGAGGAGCCTCCTCTCTCTCTCTTTTTTTTTTTTTACGAGTTAATTACCGTTCAGATAATTTTGCAATTAAATTTTTAGCGATGCAAATATCGATAAGGGGACGTCTGCCGTATTTTTGCACCATTAGACACGCTTATAAGGGTGCTCGTTGCATTGGATTTATAATTCTGACGCCAAAAATCTGGACGAACTCGTCCAGACGGAAATTTTATTTATTTTTTTTTTTTTTAGATTTAGAAGGTTTGTTGCTCCGATATTTTTGATTATTTTAAAGGTTTCGACTTGTGAAATTGGTTTGCGAAGATTTTTTTTTTGCAGTTTCTGCTTTTTTTTGGTGCTGTTGAGCATCTAAAAAAACAGTTTTTCCCCTTCCACGTGCAGAGAATGAGCAGCAAAATGGCACCATCTGTTACTAGAAAATAGTATTTTCGACAAAGATTAGTGTAATTTTTCTTTAAAAAAGCAGTCATCTTCCAGGTTTTTTTTAAATAAAGGGAGTGAGCGCATCATTAAAATTTATTGCTTCAAGTTTTTATAATTTTGTTAAGTCACTCGGAGTCGAAATTTTTAGGGAAACGGCAATAAAAATTTTGTTATTTTATGGCGAAATTTTCAAAATGCAAACCCCCCTTTTTTTTTTCTTTGTTTTACTGCAGAATACGCTTTAAATTCTGGTTGTAGAATGTTTATTGCTCCTAATTGCAATTGCGGTAAATGTTGCATCCCAGCATTTTGAGTATCATCCAACCGGTTGCTCGGGTAATTTTTGCATTAATAGAAGTTTGCGGCTGAAGTTTTCTTGAACGTCGAGCGCCGCTTACAAGATAGCGGCGCGACGTTCGACGTTCACGTTTGAGAGATGAAAACTTCGGCCGCAACCTCGCTATTTTCGTAAAATCTAGACGCAATTCCGATCGCTCACACGCAAAAAAACATTAATTAAATTGCGTGTTTTTCTGCAAAGGCTCAAACTTTCACTTTTAACAGCGAATCGGTTGCAGGAAAATGGAGGAAATTTAAATTTTCTTCACGGAAAGTTCGTTAAACAAACGCCCAGGAGCGAAATTAATTCCATTATTTAGTTTCGAGAAGGGGAGCAAACTGAATTATTGAAATGTTTTCCTCTTTAGTTGCGTGGGTAGTGACGCGTCAACCGTGCAGAGTTGCTCGGAAGAGGGGGGGAGAGAGAAAACGTTGCAAAAACAAACTTCGTAACGTCACATCGTCGTCGTCGAGAGGAGGGAAATCCAGTCGTAAAAAAACACGCAAATTCCGTTTATTAAATTACTTATGGAACACTAGAAACTAGCGAGTTAGAAGAATTCGTGGCATGATTTTTGGATTATGCATTTATCTAATCTTAATTAAGTATCAGCGAAAAACAGTCGAGTTTGCATTTTTAGTGGGTTCTTGCAAGAAACCGGATCGGACGGAGTGACACGACACCCATCACGATTTTTGTTAGCCCAGCCTTGTCCCACAAAACTTTTCACACGTGTTCATTATGACAGCTCGGGAGTTCAGAGGTCAGGGACTCTTTCGTCTTTACAAAACCCTTTCACGGACCTGCCGGGGTAGAAATTTTTTCCCTAAATCATGTAAAACCCGTGCATTGTATTCAAATGAGTGGCATTTAAATATATATATAGAGAGAATATCCTTAATCTCTCTCCGGAGCACTTTATAAGTTATATATTGCCTCTCGGATGGACTGGTTTGTTGATAGACGGTATCAACAAACCTGTTGGACGGACATACTAAACACCTAAGAGTCATCTGATAGGAGTTGAATGATGGCACCCCAAACTAGTTTCCGACCGAAAGCGAAGCATTACTATGCGGTCTGGAGCTCCGCCGGGGTGTTGAAGATTCGGAGAAAGCTTAAATTCCGATCCGGCCGGAGATTTCCGAGATGCTGGAGAAATTCTAGATGCGCAGTGGTTGTCTGAAAGTCGAGCGATGAGATTTATGACGGTGTAGTTTATTTAACTGCGAGTGTCGTTTTAAATTTGTGGAATAACGAGGGTTCCGGGACGTCCTGCGGTGCATTTGGGTCCAGAACAAAGGATGCGTCTGTAATCTTGATAGATCTGTGACGAGAATTTTAAGTCGCCGATTAATTATTTATGCAATCGTAACAGAGATTTAACTATGTATTAACGTCGTGGTATTACACATGCAAATTTTGGCCGAAGCAGAGCAAATTAAACTGTTCAATTTACCTTTCACTTAACTAAGACTGAATAAAAATCTCTCTTTTTTTTCTTATATATAAAATTACCAGTGCATATGCCGAATTATCTTGTCTCCAGTTCGTTACCGATCCGTGAAAAATAACCAAGTCCGCATTTAAGACTTTTTCTCTCCGGTTGCATGTTAGCTTTTTATATTTACAATTTAATTCCATCAAGCATTACTAAATAAGACAAAAAAAAAATCAGTGTTTTTGTCGATATTTTCATACTCAATGAACTTGTTTTTAAACTGCCGCCTTCCTCCCTTTTAGATACAATATAGGACTTATACCTACCAAGCGCAATCTGGAGTTATGCGATAAAGTGTCGGCATCATCCTTCTGCAGGTGGGTCCAAAACTTTGATATTCGTGTTTTTAAATCATAAGGTGCAGTGTATTAACTTTGTGTGTGTATGCTATTTAACTTTGATTTTCAGGAGACGGCTACCTGTGTTAATGGTGAAGAGCCAGATGGCAGAGACGCTACGACTCGCCACGCAATTTGTCGAACAAGGACGTATCCTTCATATATCTCATAATCTGTTTTCCGACATAAAATTCCTTAACGGTCGACAGATGTTCGCGTGGGTACGGAAATGATAACCGATCCGGCGTTTCTCGTCACCAGAAACATGGAAGATTTTGTAACCTGGGTGAACGGCTCGGCAATAAGGAAACACGTACTGCAATATAATGATATGGTAAGTCGAAGAAAATTACAAACTTCGAGGTCATTCTAAAAAATGTAAAAAAGATTTCTTAAGTACGGAGGAAGTCGAGGAATCGAATTACTTACTTTATTTATTTTATCTTGCAGAGAGACGACTTTGATCTGATGTGAACTTCTTCCAATGATGTTTGTAAATATTTATGTATTAAAATAAAACTTCAAACATTCAGAACTTTCATTTAATAGCATATTTGTGAGTATATATAATGGATACAATTTCATTTCAACTCTCACAAGTGAAAGAATGCCTCTGGTTCCATTAGAATAGTCATTTGTGATGTCACTGGCCGTGACCTTTTGCTTCAATTTGAAAGCATTCTATTTTAAAGATCATGCTTTTCTTTTTAAGCATTGTACATGGTAGGCAAACATTTGACTTGTCTGACTTCTCCATTTAATCCGAGGGCTTTCGGATTGAGGCAGTTCAACAGAGTAATTCCATTTACAAACAAGTTTATTCAGAGTTTCGGGTTTCTTGTAATAGGTACTATTACGGATTCCTTACATGTTTATAATACAGCTGATATATATGTACAAATTAAATTCTCGTCTAGGCCAACTGCCACCGAAAAATTTACTCCATTTCTTCGTAATCTAAGGATTCGTCTTCCAAGTCAACTAAATAAGAATTATCGGAATCATTAGGCTGCACTGCCGACGGTTCTATTATCTTTTCACTTTCTTGTTTCTCTATATTAAAAATAAATGAGGTAATTCAACACAATATAATGGAAAATAACAGGAAAAAATCATACACACCTTTTAATTTCTCTATTGTTTCATTCATGTGATGAATCATGATTTCACGACAACGTTCCAGAGCTCCAGGCTTCAACCAGCCACCTTTTTCCATGCAGTACATTTCATAATTGTCGTTACTGTGAATGACATCCTGGACTTCTGGAATGTCGATGTCGCACAGCTGATAGAAATTCTGTCGGTAGTGTGGAAGACGATCCGGTCCAAAAGTGTAGCCCTACGTTCGAAATAAAAATCTGTATTTTAGCGGCAGCAGATATTTCCCTAGAGAGAATACAAAGACGGCAGACCTTGTTTTCCTTTTCTGTGCCTTCCGAAGTACCGGGTTTCGAGGCCAGCTCCTCTCTCTGCAGTTTCGCAATTTTTGCTTGCGACAGATTTATCTTGTTGGGTAGTGTGTAGGAAGAGTTTCCACGCTTACTTTCTACTATCACTTCTTTTCCTGGTGCTATTTAAATAAATAAAAATTTCAGCTTTCCTTTTCACGTTGTGTATTTGTTTAGTTTAATGCTAATTTTTAAATTGCTTACAGCATGTAGTGTGGAAAGTTAATATGTATGTGCTGCCATCTATGAATTAAATCTGCAGTGTTTCAAAATTTTATAAGCCTTGTGTAGATTACAAAAAAAAGAAATTGCATACAAATCACAAGATTTATTCTTTAATAATTAAGAAATCTTATCTATTGTTTTATGTTATTTCACTGATTATAATAGATTTTTCAAGATTCCATATATCTGACTTTCACAGTTGATGATTTTATTATTTTTTTAATAGAATTCTTATGTCTTGTAAACAAATCATATAGTTTGACATGTAAGAAATATTTTTAATATTTCTTACATGTCAAACTATATGATACACTATAGAGCATGATATACTATTAAAAATAGAGCATGTAAGAAATATTTTTAATATTTCTTACATGCTCTATTTTTAATATCCACTCGTTGACGACGACAATTTAAACACCAAGATGGGGTTTGGATGTAATGTTGCTGATAATATGTGATTATAATATTATAGTGCAGAGAGAATTTCCAATGCAACAGTGGTACAATTTAAAGGAATCGTTAGTACTTTATAGGACTGCCTCTTGCCTGGAAATGTGCAGTGTTGCAATCAAGCTTGGAGGCATACAGGCACTGCTGCTATCCTGCAACAAATTTGCCCACAGATGTTACAACCGTATGCTCTGTATCCGTCACACTCATAGATGGCCAAAAAAATATAAAGCAAGTGATCAAACAATGATCATTTGCTAAACTTCCTTCAGGATACAGGACATGTCTTATCATGTTCTGATCCAAAGACTGAAAAGTGCACATGCGCACGCATGTGCACTTTTCAGTCTTTGGATCAAAAAACAACTTTAAAATAAGTGAGAATAGTAAATGGCCAACTAATTTCATTTCAGTTACTAGCATAGCATATATTTCTGCAATATTATACTTTAAGACAATGTGTTAAATAAAAATTCCAGAGTATCTTTCTCTAGCAACTGTTGCTATAGTGTATCATTAGAAAAGATTACTTACCATATAATGTACTGTACCTACATTCCAATTTTTTAATGATTTAAATACTATTTTGTATAAATAAAAAATTGTTTTTTTAGTCATTTATGAGATAATTAAAGATGATTTCCTTTACAGTTTATCAGTGTCTTCGGCTTCCTTTCTTTGAGTCTACTTTCCATATATTTTGAAGACATTGGCGAAAGCATGGAAAGACTGCTAGAATTAATTCAATTATGCAAATTTTCCCCCACTTGTTTTTGAGTTATTTTAACTTTTGTTCATCGTTCTTCAGTTGTGGCTGTTTAATTTACTTTTCTTTTTCCTCCCTCCATGGTCTGAAAATTCAAACATGCTGCTCAAGCTACAGAGAGCAATTCTTTTATGACTGTTACCCAGGCTGAATTCTGAATAATTTCAAGATATCATTGACAGTCATTATGGCATTCACAGACAGTTTGGAGTCATAAAACTTGCTTTGCCCCAACAACAACAAAAGTGAGAGACAATGATTTATTTTAAGTCTAATTTTTGTAACCTGAAGATGTCTTATAAAGTAAGTTAAAATAAATATTTTTAGCTTAAAATTTATATATATTCATTTAGAGTCTGGGAGTCCATTGACACTAGTTTCTTCTAACACAGACAAAAACTACTTACACATATGATATTTTGGATTAGCACATGAATAAATTTATCTGTCACTATGCAAATTGAGAGTTTCTTTTTATATTTATAGTATATCATTAATCAAATAAACTGTTCTTGATAAAAGTACTTACTACTTCTGACTCTGAAATCAATTTGTTGATATATTTTTGATTCAGGATTCTTCTTTGGGTCGTAACCAAATCTCACCCAGAGGCTTCTCCAAGGTCCGGTGACATAATAATATGCTAACACGGGTAAAATTGCCTTCAGACTCAGCGGATCACAGTCCAGTTGCGCGGTCAGAGCATTTTTCGACCATATGGGACGTTCCTCGAACAGCTGGAAGTAGCAAATTAAAAAAGACTTAGGGTGTGACTATGCAGACGTGAATTTAGTAGCGAGTGATATAGTTCTCACAAAGGAAAACACGCACAAGTGAGAAGCGAGAAATATTGCCGGCAAGAGTGAATTTCTGGTTCTCGCACGTATCTGACAGGGTTTGATGTTTATCACGTCTCACCTCACTTGCTCGGAAAATTTGTTCGCTTGTGTCTGCATAGTCGCACTCTTAGATGAAAGTAAATAACATTGTGAATTTTATTTACTTTCAGCCAAAAACATATTGAGAAATGAAACGTTTTTGGTTAATTGTAAACAATCCTCAGAATAATACAGGCTGTATGAAAAGTTACTGTGCAGTGGAAAAGGTTTAAGTAAAGTTTTACATATGATAATACAATTTCTCTTACAGTAAATGTTGGAAATGTCTTCCAGAGGCCCCAAAATCTGGGGAATGAAGTCCAGAGACCCAACAGGCGAGATTTTTCTAAGACTTCTTTACCGTTCACATAACCAGAACATCTGTGAGCAAGCAGTAATGACATTTACTGCAAAATGGAAACGTGGGACACAAATCACATATGTAAAGCAATACATAAGTTGTAACTTTAATGTCATTACAAATTTCTCACATCACAGTAATTTTTTGGATGCTCAATAGAAGACATATTTTGTACTATATTTCCATACAAACAACAAGGATTTAAAGTGATCCTGCAGTCTGACTGGGATTGTTCTCATAGTGCAAAAAGTACAAATGGAAGGAAGGAAACTAGATATTTTTCATATTGTCTTCTTTTTACAGATAATTAAAATACAATAAAGTTCCCTTATTTAAAACAAAATAATCAGAATTAAATTATAATATAAACAAAAAAATTAGCATTTGTTTGTATTTTATTTTAATATAATATAAAAAAAACCATTCCATAATTTATGGAAAATCTGTTTAAATTTGCTAATATATTTAGCCTAAACTTTCCTTCGAAGATTATACAAAATGCAATATGAATTGTTCATTAGGTTATCAGGATTATAATGACAACGATGGTCTTCTTACCAGTTTAATATTTAGATTCTTTCAGAATGACGCGCGAGAAATGTAAGAATATGACAATGGCATGACTGAAAAATTTCTGAACTTTCAGACTATACGTATTCAGAAGTTTATAGAATCATCTGTTTCTGAAAAAGAAAACTTTCTAAGATTTAAAAAGAATTTAAAGAAAACAACTTTAGATGTTCGGTGAAATAGTCTTAAAAAATTTTAAACAAACATCAATAAATCGAGAAGTATGTGATGTTAAAAATTGTAGCCTGGCATTGTGACAATCATATTTTAAATTTATTTAATTTAAAATTTGTGGCTTGCTCCTGTGCATCATACTTTTTCCTTTAACAACAGAGTCGTGCCGGTCATCTATCTAACACCTTTCGGGGAAGATTTTTGCATTGAAACATGACTTCTGGTTTGCATTGGAAGTTTGTATATAGTTAAGCAGGGTCTCCTGCCCCTAAGGTTTCCATACCTGGTTTCAGATTTCATCTATCTAACTCTGTTCTCAAGATTAAGGAAAGACGGATGGACAGACGACATTGGGAATTTATAGGTTTACAATTTTTTCAAATTTGCATCCCAATTAAAACTTTGTGGAATGCACCCATATTAATAATAAAATGCCTAAGAATATTCCTGTAAAGTTATTTGAATAATCAGTATCTGGAAATTACCCTTATTGACATTAATGAAACTAGTATGAATCCAGGACGATAATTACATGTAAAAATTACAAGAAATTCTTTTAAATTTCCACAAAATAATATATAACACACATTTACAATTTTAACCGTTGCCAAAGAAAAATTTATTTTATGTTTTACATATTGAGGCAGATAAGTCTACTATAAAACGTCACCTCTGCCATAAGACTTTGTTCCTGAGGCGTAAAAAAGAAGGACGAAGAATCCCCACGTTTTCTGTTAATTCCTTATGGAAATTTTTTAAAGAATTTAATGTAATTTTTTTTAAATGTCCTTATAATTTCCTTCTTTTATTTAGACTTAAAATACAAAAAGTTTGTTCTAAAAATTAAGTATTTTCCACAATATTTTCTATTTTGTTGAATGTGTTTTTGTGTAGAGGATAATCATATATCTGTTCAACACTGAACACCTGACTAAAAATTTTAAAGTAATTATCTTTTTAGAATTATTTTTGCAGAAATAAATGAACATCTTCCCTACCTTCTGAACTTTTTCCGGCAGCAAACTGTCTCCGCATTTCATTTTCATGTTCTCTTTGGCATTTTCCATGGGTTCGGTCGGCACTTCATCCTCGAAATTCAGAAATATTGTGTATCCGAATCTGGTCTGCCGTTCTAAAGACGCCAAAAAACAATTAGAGTAAAATTTGTCAACAATCATTTAATAATAAAAAAATAATACTTGCTTTTGCCAATGATATTTGGTGGAGTCTTCGTTTTTTGTGCTTTAGACACATCGTGCGTGATAGTATCTCTTCGAAAATTATAATTACTAGGCATATCTAATCTACTGAACATGACTGGCATGATAAACAACGGTGAAGATTCTTTATACCACGATGGAAATTGCAGTCCTCTTGGAATGATTGTGGGAATAATAGATTTATAACCTTCTTTTGGCGTATTAACCATCGGTAAATACTGAAAATCCATCATTCCTAAACAAAAATAGCACGAATTAGCAGATAATTACTGACTTAGATAAAAATTAGTTTCAGACTTTATTATTATTACGAAATAGAAAAAAAGATTTAATACCTATTTGAAAATTTATAAGTTAGTGTAGTTTTTGTGTAGAGGATAATCATATATCTGTTCATACAATACATGTGTAAAACATTAACGATTTCTATATGTTGTAGTCATGCAAGAAAACAATGTTTTACTGCACATTAATTCAAATTTTAGAGCTAATAATGTTGAAAGACTATGTAAAACAGAAGTGAGAATGTTCTGAATTCATCAATTTAAGATAGTTGACGCAGCTGACGTTCTTTATTATCTGTTGATTGTCAAAATCAAAATAAACAACTGACAGATTCATTGATGCAGACTTGCCAGAATACTTTAAAAAATTAAAAATTGCTACTTAAATAAATCAATTTAAAACTTTTAATATAGGAAAGAAGTGTTTTTAGTCAAATATTTGACCATATTCAACTTAAAACAACTTATTTAACCTATGACTGCATTCTTAATTCAAGTTAGGAGTTAGACTTAACTTTTGACAAACACAATATTGAGTAGTCGTGATAATTTTATAAATTACCAATTTTAGAGTAAAAGAATTGCCTTACAGAATGTAGAAAATTAATTTTAGTTTGGCCAAAAAGTTTGGAAGTGCTGCAAGTCGGACTTAGCAATGGTATAAGCTGGTCGTTTAAGTTTGCGATGTCATCAACTCTGACTTGCAGCATGCATAATACTAATTAATTTCTAAAACATTATTTCAGAATGTCTAAATATAATTAGTAACTGTAAAAAGACCGTTGTTGTAACCATCATTTTATTTTACTGATAAATGAATGCACAAACAATAAGACAAAAAATTGTTATGGCAATAACTAAATAACCATTTTTTAAATTTCATATGTATTTGCATTGGATAATATACTTTATCGTTCCTTCTGTCGCTAAATCCTGTATTTATAAATCATTATGTATTGTTACTTGGTCATTAGCAAATTGATTCATTAAGGTGATGACAAAATCGCAGTGATACGATTGACGTACTATAAAAATCTCTGACGTTTTTGTTTTCACCCGAAAGATAAAAAAATATTAATCGTAAGGCCGATTAATGTTTATAACCCAGATGGACAATACAATAAATATCACCAATAAAAAGAAAACACTTTCTAACTATTAGCAAATTATACCAAACTTAATACTTAACATTACTTTTAGAATAGTAATTTGGATTGTGACTAAGTTTATTTAACCCTTAAATGGATTTGGCGAGTCCACTGGACTCATTCTCATATTTCTGATAGTTCCTTGTTAAATAGATAAAATTTCTATGATTTTTATCTTCTTCTGAGGCAATCATTTTTAATCTATTGCATAAAAACATGTAATTCTTTAATCAAAAACAGTTTACTTTTAATATTTTATAATACCAAAGTTAACACAAGTCCTGCTTCTAAATTCTTGATTTTTAACTGATTATTAATTAAGCCTTGATACGGTTGTTTTATTCAAGAATTATTCTTCATTTCAAATGAAATGTAAGATAAAAAATTATCTTTGAAATCATTTTGTAAATATTACAGATCATTACAAAACATTGAATTTTTTTTAATGTAAGTGTACTTAAAGGATCTCTCAATGAGGGAGAAATGCTCAAACTATTCACTAATGTATCAGATTCTGATCGTCACGACTTCGCTGATCACGGAACATCTGAATCTAATACGCAAACATCATGAAACTCGATGTTTGGCTTTACGTCTGCAAATCTGTTGGATCAATAGACTGTCGTGTGATTTCAGAATCTGAAATAGAGGAAACATCTGATGAACCTGAGTTATTAGTGGGTAAAGATAGTACATTTTGACAGAACATGCCATACTAAGAGAACACATTCACATAACAAAATCATAAGCTGTCTTCACAAAGTTATAATTAGTATATTCCCTTTTTATTGATTACTTAAACACAGATTTTATTGTAAAATTTAATAATAAGGAACATCTTCCTTGATGAGTGTATCCAACAAATGAAACCTACTCTGAAATAAAAACTAGCAGAATTGAACTTTTGGCATTTCTGGCCTTCTCATTACTGCATAACATTTGAAACAAAACTAAAAACATGCTGTTTAGTGGAATCGAATTTATTTACAAAAAAAAAACAATGTTTGTAACAAACACTTTTTTGTGAATGGATTACGCAATTTCCTGTAAAAAAAAAAGTAAAAATAATTTCTTATTTATTACTACATCTTAAATTTCATGTAATTTTTGTACAAAATGATTAATGCTTTAATAAAACACAAACTAAGATTTATGTCAATTAAAACTACTGTTATTTGACAAAAACTTCAACATAAATTACACAAACACAAAGTAACCCTGGTACTATAAATTTTGCATCACTGCCTAAGAATTAAGATGCATTTATCTTGTAGATATGATTCATTACACAGTTTCTTGAAATAAAATAGCTAAATTAGACATTATCAAACATATAAACATTAATTCTTACCTCGAAATTTATAAGTAGTGTCTATAATTCCAACAATTTCTAAATTAAACTCGTCGTCGTCACTCTCACCATCTAGTTGCTCTCGATTTTTGCGAACTCTCTTTACCTTCATAAGCAAGCTGGTCGTATTAAAACGATCTCCATGCGCACACTTACAATGAATGTCTTGCGGCCTGTAACACAGTTCCAGTCGCCTCGATGGCTCAGAATACACCTGTAAAAGATAATTTCAAGTAATTATTTAGATGCACGTGCTCACTAATTGCAAAGTAACATTATTTCTTAATATGAGAAACCAATATACTCTCAGTTATAACAACAGCTTTGATTATGTCTTAATTCAGAGTAAGGCCTACACAGATGAGAGTAGAAAACAAAGTCTGAGCTATACAACCCAAGAAAAGTAGATCCCAGATGGAATTTGAACATAGATTCGGCCCGAATGGGACTCAAACCCACGACTTTCACTTACCGCGCGAATGCTTATGGCAGTTGAGAATGTCTATTTGCTATACATCGGGTTTCGGTTGGTGTGTATATTTGTATAACTATGCCTTGCTGGGTATGCGATGGCCAACTGTGTGCCTCGAGTGGATGTTTCTGGACGAGGATGCGATTGCGTCTCCAGTCGGCACCGTAATAACTGACGATAGTTATATGTTAACCTTATATATACTGGAAGAGGAGATCAGACCGGAGGTCTGGGTAGCATAACTGGCAACGCATTCGCATGATAAGTGAAAGTTGCAGGTTCGAGTCCCACCTCGGGCAGATTCTTTTCTTCCACTTTAATCTAAATTACTGAAATTGTTCATACCAGTAAAAAGTATGAGGTAGTTGCCAAATTTCTGCATAATACTTTTCTAAAATCATGTCTATAACATATACCTGCAAAAATTGTTGTAAATGGAATACAAATTATAATGTATTTGAATGAGTTACATTCTAGCTCCCGAAATGTTTTTATGTATAAATTATATTTTGATAACTAAAGCTGTATACAAGTACTTTTCTAATGGGGTTTTTACATACACTGTATATACATTTTAATAAATAATACGTACTGTATACAGTTAAAAAGTAACAAGAATAAATCACAAAACTCGAGGCTGGTTTAAAGTGAACAGCAACATAGAGTTTCAAGGTTGTTAGCGGTCACCAGAGTGGATAACACCATCCGGTTTATAGTCAAACTTCGGCCGGAAACTAACTCGACACAGCATGTCATTGAATTTGGACTTACATTGCCAAACTGAAAATATGCACATAATAGTTTGATGTCTTCCAGAGTGGAGAACGGTAAATGTAATGGAACTCTGCCCTTTCGGTGCCACCTGCCAGTGGAATATAAACAGACCCTTCAGAACTTTATTTTGTAATAGTTAATGTCAGCTTTTGTTGTTATTAAAAGAATTGTGTATTATTGGCACGAATACATTTATTAAATTAGATCAATGCCACTTCTTATGAACTTTTTGCATGACCATAAACATTATATATGTGTACATATAGCTGCATATTACCTTATATTAATACATAATCTTACATTTTAACACGAAGAAATGTAAGTTTATATTTCAAAAATAATTCCACGTTTGAGTGTTATTTTAAGAATGGCCAATATGACTACCGTATATTCCGGCGTATAAGATGACTTTTTAACTCAGGAAAATCTTCTCAAAAGTCGGGGGTCGTCTTATACGCCGGAATATACGGTAATGTATTTTCAGTATCACAATACCATCATTTCGACGCCATGTTTGATGAAGTGCGAGTGCAGAGGACCACGATTTCGCCAAATGTCTGCTTACATAATATATTAAATTTTTATTTTTACAGCGATTTCCATTAACTATTTTAAATATAAAATGGTAATATAATATATATTCTCTTAATGCGGGTGGCACGTGGTAAACAGTCGTACTCACCATTTCAAACATGGCGTCGAAGTGACGGTAGTAGGCACTTACAGGTTTACTGTACAACAGAGATTCTGCAAACGTAGTTTAATGAACTTACTTGATTAATATGTTCCTGGCCATTTAAAGTTTGAATCATTTTGTTCACATTTTGAACTACGCCCGGATATTCTATACAAACTAATTTTTTACGATGAAAAGTCACGTCGCACATGTTCCGTTAACAAATGTCAACTATCAGTAAAAGTAAAGTGTTGCCATCCCAACATAAAAATAATTTTAAAAAATATTCTCTACTAATTACTCGAAATTTTATTAATTACTATATTAATTACACACGTTTTATGAGTAATAATAATAATAATATAAATGTAATTAAATTTGAACGAAAACATTTATTTCCTCAAAAAGCAAAGTTGTTAATGAAAGTAACACGGAAGAATGACGCTTCAAGCATGCATCAACATGTTGACCACGAGGTGGAAAATCGTCCAGTATAATTGGTGTAAACAAAACCTTGCTTTTTACAATAAAACTAACACTTTTAATGTCACAGCGCTTCAAACATTGTCCTATTGTTTCTGGCGCAACTTGTACTATAAAAGAAGAGCTTTGAGTTACGATTCAAACAATAATTTTAAATGGAAAAAAAATTGGGATATGGCAAACTCTCCGCTCGACATCTTTTTCCAGGACATGCATTACAATTTAGTTTTCCTCTGGTGACAAACTATTTAGTAATTAATTAAACATAATCTCGGAAAAATGGCCCAGTGTAGTTTGGCTTTACACATTTTTCGGTTTTGGTGATGTTTGTGTATTAAATGTAGATGTTCACGATGATCAGAATCTTATGCATTAGTCAATAGTTTCAGCATTTCCCCCTCATTGAGAGATCCTTTAAGTACACTCGTTACATTAAAAAAAAATTTAATGTTTTATAATCTGTAATATTTACACAACGATTTCAAAATTAATTTTTTTCTTACATTTCATGAAAAGAAGAACAATTCTTGAATTAAACAACTGATAAGTAATATCAAGGCTTAAAACTGAAACAATTTATTTAATAGTTTTAAACCTAAGTTGTGTTTTTGGTCAAATATTTGAATATTTGACCATATTCTTCTTTTATTAAATGATTTAATTTATTTAAGTAGGTATTTTTTAAATATTATAGTAACTTTCAGCATCAATGACTCTGTTATGTTGTATTGATTGTCACATTTTAATGTGACAATCAATATAGTTGACTGAACCTGCAGTTATGTTCTTTATCATTTTAAATTTACACTCTTATATTAATCTTAAATTGAGGGATTCAGAAACTCACTCTTCTGTTTTGAATAGTCTTTCAACATAGCTAAACTCTAGAATTTAAACTAACGTTTTCTTTTAACAGTTTAAACTAATGTAAATGAATGACTACAATATATAGAAATCTGACCAATCTTTTTAGAAAATGTTAATGTTTTACACATGTATTGTATGAACAGAAGATCTACACTATCTTTTCTTTTCTATTTAATAATATCATTAAAGTCTGAAACTAATTTTTATCTAAGTCAGTAATTATCTGCTAATTTGTACTATTTTTGTTTAGGAATGATAGATTTTCAGTATTTACCAATGATTTATAACCTTCTTTTGAAGTATTAATCTATTATTCCCACTATCATACTGAGAGGATTGCAATTTCCATCGTGGCATGATGAATAGTCACCGCTGTTCGTCACGACAGCGATGTTTAGTAGATTGCATACGAAGAGATAGACACGTCATATGTGAGAGTAAAGAACGAAAAACAAAAACTCCACCACCAAATATCGTTGGCAGAAGCAAGTATTATTTTTTATTATTACATAATTATTGACAAATTTTACTCTAATTGTTTTTTGACGTCTTTTAGAATGGCAGACCAAATTTGGATACACGATATTTATGAATTTTGAGGATGAAGTGTCGACCAAACTCATGGAAAATGAAAAAATCTTTTACTGTTATATGTAGTATCACGATCAATCATCTTTGATTTTTTCTTAAAAACAATAAAAATATTATTCTAATGGATATTATGTGAAGAATGTGTTAAATTAGTTTTTACATTTTTTTTTTGTGGAAGGTTTCAAATGAACTGTAGTATCAAATGCTTTATTGAATCAATATCTGTAGCCTTCTATATGGCCTCTACTTTACCTGTGAGGCTGTGTTCAGACAGGTTCTTCTCACATTGTTACAAATAACACCTTCTTTGATCGGCCAGACATAATATGGTGTAAGAAGAGTCTGCCTGAATTCGGTCTTACAAGTTGTATCTAATCTTGTACTGTGGTACTGTACCACATAGGAGAAATGATAACATTCTGACAAAATTACCCCTGGAAAACGACAAGGATTTGGTTTGAATACAGTACAGTTTATCCACAGTTTATTTGAGCAGACTCAGATAAGAGTGATATGTTATATGTAAAATTTTAAAAACATCCAATAGTTCACACCTGGCATGAAATTTTCCAAGTGAAGAGTGAACCAGAGTAACATTTTAGAAATTAAAAACTGATAAACAATTATTATATAATTAAAATTAAAAATTAAATTTTATTAAATCAACCATTTATATACTTGTATAAATACAAATAAGTAGTTATGTTCTGTAAACTGTTACACAGTTCTTTGTGCTAGGAATGTTGCTATTTTTATAAATCAACTATTGAAATACTGTTTATTTGGCTCTTATAAATAAACTAACGAATTTAGTGAGTGATTCTCCATAACCATAAATACCGCTTACCACATTTGATAGCTTTACCATATCGCATAAGGCAATACATGATTTGGTACGAAGAAAATTGCATAAAGATATAAAAGCATCACAGTTTGCTAGAGACGCAATCATCCAGTCACATTCCTAGCTTTTTATTTAGGTTCTCGGCCAATTTGTCCAAGAATTCAAAGGTGTTCAAATAATCTTCTCGAGTTACACTGGAATATTCGAAAATGTAGAAATCATACAGAAATCGGAAAATAAATCAAGAATTTAATTCATATTTGCAGCACGTACCTGCTCATTCCTTTAATACATATGGCCAAGTCTTTTGTCATGAATCCGCTCTCTATGGTTTCGACACAGACAGCTTCTAAAGCTTTCGAAAAATTTGCTAAAGCAGGACATTTATCCAGCTTTGCCCTGTGAGCCAAACCTCTTGTCCATGCAAAAATTGAAGCTAAAAAAAAAAAAATTATAGGATCATTTTAAATTACTAAAGTGGGAAAATAACATGTATTTTTAAGCAATGCAACTTTTTATATTATCAATGCAATGATGAATGATTATAAATGTCCTTGTAACAATAAATAGAGTAGAATTTAATATTTGTTTTTTGTAATTGTTTTAAAATAATGTGCATACATATTTTTAAGATAACAGCACTAATATTAATCAATGTATGAAACAAATACTGGGAGACCATTTTCAAAATTGATGTATTTAATTTAATTTATAAATTAAAAAGTGTCATCTAAAAAAATCATTTACAAAATTATCTAAGAAGTAATATTCGTCAACATTACTTAAAAATATGAATTGAAATTTAAACTAACCAAGATTATGTAAGGTTATAGCAATGAGTGATGATCAACATATTTCTCCAAGAATGTTTAAAATTACCTACATGTTATAAATATTACATTAATTTAGACAATTATTATTTTGTAATTTAAAAAGTTTTATCATCACAAACATACATCATTAAAAGATAATCAATTAAAAAAATATAATTTCAATAATGCTGACACAGTTAAAGTTATTGTTATGAAGACCAAAGATCAAATCCAAGACAGTGACCCCATAAGAATTTTTCATGAGCCCAACCATTCATTACCATTCTGGGCATGGCCAAACTTACAATGGGTATGGGGAAGAAAAAGGCACTCTTAGCACCCACAGGGCAAAAAGGAGTTAAGTTTGTTTCAAAATAACAACAAAATTTCTAATAATGTATTCTGTAATATTTTATCTAATGTTTAATTTGTATATACAGGTATTGTAACTTGAAATTAATTGTTTATTTGTAATTTAAAAAATTAAATTAGTTTAAACAATGTTGATTTGTCTTTTGCAGGGTGTCTCAAAAGTCGCTATTTCGGTGAAGTTGGACAGGGCAATCGTTGCCTCACCAGACACACTTAAATATTTATCTTTGCAAAAATACACATGTAAAAAATTATATGACAATTTTACCTATTGGATTAGTTGAAGTTTCTTTTCCCTGTTGATGCATTCTATAATGACGTGTAACAGTGCCGTGAGCAGCTTCTGCTTCTATCGTTTTTCCATCGGGACAAATTAAGACACTCGTCATCATTCCAAGAGAGCCGTAACCTTTAATAAGAACAATGAGACAAAAAATTAATACTGTAGAATATATAAAAATTTTATTAACAACTAACCATAAAATTTGATGCATTTTAAATTAATGTATATAAAATAATTTTAAAATATAAAGTTCTAATTAATTAATTTATGTTTAAAAAATTTCCTTTATAATCTTTGAAATTTATTTCATGATTTTAATTCACTCATTATAGAAGTATTATTCAACAAAGGAATTAATCTTTATATTTTATAAACTAAACTGTAAAATCACACTGATACTTTATTACTGGTGCTCTATTTAATTGGAAAGCAACGTAGAATTTTGTGATGTGATGTATCATTTTGGATTCTTCTATACTCTTAACATGTCAAAGTTTGTACATGTGGATTCTATTTGTTCTATTCCAGTAAAAACTGTATATAAGGCTGTACTTTTACTTCCCTACTGTGACCTTTAACACTTAACAGACATTCCAATCATGTTTGGAAAGGAAGTTAGAGTTGACAATGAGTTTTTTTTGTGTCTTGACTCACTCTATATCATTGTATTCATTATTTTTTTGTTCATATATTCATTGTAACCAACAAAATTACATGCAATAAATGTACTGTATTTGGGTTTCTAACATATTAAGTGCAACAAGCATTGACATAGCAATATTCACACAACAATATGCCAAATTAAAAATTTATATAAATGTAAAATACCAAAAATGTGTTACCTTGGGCCACAGAATCAGACTGAACATCTCCATCATAATTTTTACATGCCCAAACAAATCCTCCTTCGGATTTTAATGCTTGAGCAACCATGTCATCAATCAGACGATGCTCGTACCAAATACCCTTAGATTCAAACTTTTGCTTATATTCTCTAAAAAAAAAAAAAAAAACAGAAAATACACATATATTTAAAACACTAATTAAATTTATTTTGAAGCTTTTATTTAAAAAATAATAACAACTTACTTATCATAAATTTCTTGGAAAATATCTTTAAATCGACCGTCGTATTTTTTCAAAATCGTGTTTTTCGTACTGAAATATTAATATATAAATAAATTATACTTTTTATAAGGCTTTATATAATTCAAAAGTTTAAGATTTTAAACTAAACAATTTAGTATTTATGAATATAATTAGGATACATTTAATATTTATGTACAGTAAACTTACCTGAGATATAATGGATAATTAACGCTAAGTGCATATTCGAATGAACTATATGCAAAATCTGTAATAGACTGTAAAAAAGTTTATTGTTTTTAATTTAAAATCATAAATTATTAAATTAATATTTATTAAATGCTGTAATTTAAAATAGGACATAACTGATAAAATATCATTGCTGTGTTTGGGAAGAAAAACTTTCTAAAATCAAATGCAGTTATATTGTAATTTTATCTTTTAAAGATTTAATGAGTAGAAAATATTGAATATAAATTCTACATTCAAAATTAAATGCTGTAATCATCATCTAAGTGAATATTCTAATCATTGTTTAGAAGACTGTTCAAATAATTGCAAAAACAAATTATAATTTCATCATTAAGATACTGGCAAGGTCATCAGGATGCACGATCACTTATCAGTGCAGATTGTGACACTACGCTGAAGCAATTAATAATGAATTGAAACTATAATGAATAATGAAAAGATTTTTAAGATTAGAAAACTATGTGTGTTTTTTTTATAGTATTAAATATACCTTTATTAGCAGCATGCAATATTTATACTAAAATACTGAGAATAGTATTTATAATGTATGCTAATTGAGTCAAACATTTGTTATTCGAATGCTAAAATTTACATTATATCAATCATTTAAACAATAAATCTCCATAACAAATAATTATTGACATCTAATGATAAATCTTTACTATAAGAAAGAAAATTGATCATTTTATAAAAATGAAAACAATTAAATAAATAATGAACAATCAAATTATACACAAACGTCAAATGAATCAAAATAAAAAATTAAGAAAATCTTAATTATTGAGGTATCTAATTCATAAACAAAATGGATTGGATTAAATTGGTGGGATAAGGAAGGGCAAACTTGGGTAATCTACCAAGGCAAAATGCCTCCAGACAGGATTTTTTTATAGAGAAACTTGCCCTTATTTAGTTGTTAGATGTGGGAAGAAAACCTGGAATACTCCATACAGTCAGCCTTTTAATCAGGTGTAAACCAACTACCAATGTTCAGTGACTTTATCCATTCAGCCACTGATTGGACATAAACAAAATGGAATTAAAAGAGATTCTTTGTATAAGTATGAATAAACATTATTTGAAAATATACACTAAACATTTTCTAATTACATTAAGTGATAAATTTAAGATACGCAACGACTTTTTAAAAATTATTTTTTAAAATTTGATGAACAATCACTTCTTCTTTAAAGGATATTTTTTAGTTCATTCTTTAGATACTTTATACAATGAAATCATTTCAAAACCTTTAAGTTATCACAAGTATATACTTGTACCTACCTATATAAAATGCTATACTTTTGTATTTGTATTAATTTGTTTTAATAATATTTCAAAAAAATCTAATAAATATTTAAGAAAATCATCTCAGACACTAACCTTGTCAGTATTATACATTGCAAGTGCAACTCCACCTCCATCTTCAAAATCAAACACAGTATGCTGAATTACTTCTCCACCAGAATTTGGTGTATATTTAATTTCCAATTTTCCAGGTCCAGGTACAACAAAGTCAGTAGCTTTATACTAAATACAAATATTAAATTTGTTTTTATAATAAAATTTGTTTTTATATTTTAAAATATTTTAATTATTGCTATTTTCTTAAACGCATACCTGATCGCCGTAAGCGTGGGAGACCATTTTCAAAATTGATGTATTTAATTTAATTTATAAATTAAAAAGTGTCATCTAAAAAAATCATTTACAAAATTATCTAAGAAGTAANATTGGAAATAGAATATAGAATACCAGCTTGTTCTAGTTCTTTTCTCTGTGAATGTAAGCCTGAAACGGGCCTCGAATGAAGCCATTTCATTCTGCTTTGGTCAGGTCAAAGTTCACAGTTTGGCTCGCAGCTTGCCTGTAAAGACTTCTGCTCGGCTCGGTACTTCCAAATAGGTGAACCAAGTCGAGCTATGCCGACTCTAGTACTAACTGTAGTAAATGAACTTTGGACATTTAGTCAGCATTCATTTAAGTATATTTACATATTATTTATTGATATTATATAACAGTTTATAAAATTTGTAAATATTAAAATATCAGTAAAATATACACACATTTATTACACATTATTTTATTGAACACTTATAGTAATTGGCGAATTATTAATTATTAGTAAGATAATAGCTTAAAATAAATTAGCTGAACTAAGCCATGCTATTTTAACAACTTTTTTGCAAATTCATCTTTAGATGTTAGCTTGAATTAGGTTGAATTAAAGCTAACATTTAAAGACGAATTTGCAAAATAGTTATTCATTTATCTTGTAGTAAAAATCACCTTGATCATTTGTCGCATCCCTGTTTTGAATACTTAAATCAAATGAATGCAGCTCCATTTCTACATGAGGGAAAATCAACTTTTCTTTGATTAATTCCCAAATAATTCTATAAAAGAAAAATAAAATCATTATTACATTTTAAAAATAAATATATAAGAAGACACCCATTAATTAACATTAAATCATAATACATTGTCATATAAAATGCAAAACATAAACATAAAAATATTTACTGGGTAGTGTGATGGAAAAATTAAATTATTCAAAAAATGCAATTTAGTAGTAAATGGACTATAAAATATAATTTTCAAAATCTTTGCCTTCAGACACAATCAAATTCTGAAGGTGTTTATAAAACTGGTCAATAATAATTCTACTGAAATTCCTTTCATTGCATCTCTGCTGCAGTCCCAAGGTTCTACATTGGAGAGAGATTTTATTTTAGGTTCCCCTATATAGCAAAGTATAAGAGATTTAAATCAAGGCTCCTAAGGAAACAATTTGATACTTCCTTTGGCCTTTTTCAATACATCCAGAGCTATCAACCTGTGACTAAATGCTTGTTTGAGGTCATCAAACACTTCTCAAGCATCATCTATCCCTCTATTAAACTTTCAAACACAAGTTATTTCTAACAAACTGTCCAAAAATTACGGTATTTTCCTCATGACAAACACGTGCCATCCTGTATAAGATTTTAAGATATGTGTATGGTACCAGATTTGGTTTTTTAATTTTAAATGTTGCCCTTCATTTTATCATTTTATACGTTCTGTCTTTATATTTGAATTTTGGTTTCCCGAGAAAGGGTGTAAAATAACAGAAAACATTTGCATTAATTAAGCAAATGATTGTTTCTGTTTCCTTGCCGCTAAAACATTTTCGTGGCATTTATTTTGTCATTTTGTTGTTTATTTTGTTCATTAATTAATGTTATGGAATCATCATCATCAAAAAGTTTTTAATCTAAAATTTATGGAAATTAAAAAAGGAAATCTTAAAAAAAAAAAAAAAAGTAGAGTAAGCTGAGTATTCTGTTCTACTTTCACAATGTTTTTAAGATATTAGAAGAAATGAGAATATCAGATATTTAAAAAACATTATAACATTGGAAATAGAATATAGAATACCAGCTTGTTCTAGTTCTTTTCTCTGTGAATGTAAGCCTGAAACGGGCCTCGAATGAAGCCATTTCATTCTGCTTTGGTCAGGTCAAAGTTCACAGTTTGGCTCGCAGCTTGCCTGTAAAGACTTCTGCTCGGCTCGGTACTTCCAAATAGGTGAACCAAGTCGAGCTATGCCGACTCTAGTACTAACTGTAGTAAATGAACTTTGGACATTTAGTCAGCATTCATTTAAGTATATTTACATATTATTTATTGATATTATATAACAGTTTATAAAATTTGTAAATATTAAAATATCAGTAAAATATACACACATTTATTACACATTATTTTATTGAACACTTATAGTAATTGGCGAATTATTAATTATTAGTAAGATAATAGCTTAAAATAAATTAGCTGAACTAAGCCATGCTATTTTAACAACTTTTTTGCAAATTCATCTTTAGATGTTAGCTTGAATTAGGTTGAATTAAAGCTAACATTTAAAGACGAATTTGCAAAATAGTTATTCAGTACAATATTAATTTGAGCTTGAATTTGTCGTTTAATGCTAATTCCATTTAATGATACTTGCGAGTGTAAAATTACTAACTGATTACTTTGTGGATCGTTCAGTAAATCACTAAATAATTATTTATTTTATATCAAACTTTGTATTATTTTTCAAAGATATTTTTGTAACAGTCAAAACTTGTAATTAATACGATTATTTTTCAGAATTCTTTCCTAATGTTTATCTATTTTGATACAAATGTTTTATTATATAATATTAGAGAATATTAAACAAATAATATTTTTTTATTTACTCCATCTTTTAAATATTTACTACAGAAAAAAAGAATTTAAGCATATAATAATTAAGAATAAGATAACTGTTGTGACATTAAAAGTAATCAATATGATGTTTTGTAAGGATTTTATCATAAAAAAAATATGATAAAATTAATTAATTTTATTATGAAATAAGTAAATAGATTGTCGACCTTGTAGATACTGTTAATTTTGACAGATAATAAAATAAATGATGGATGTTGTCAAGGAATCAATGCTTAACTCCAAGGACAATTCTGAGTTCATTGCTTCAGTAACTGAAACATCCTTTATGTATGAATGTATGTATATTATACTTATAAAAAAAAAAACATAAATTACCTTGTCATTTCATCGCCTTGAACTTCCACAACGGGACCACCTGTTCCAGTAAAAACACAAAAAATATAACATTAATCATAATAATATTGTTAGAATTATATTTTTAAAACACATAGGAGAAATGATAACATTCTGACAAAATTACCCTTCCAAAACGACAAGGATTTGGTTTGAATACAGTACAGTTTATCCACAGTTTATTTGAGCAGACTCAGATAAGAGTGATATGTTATATGTAAAATTTTAAAAACATCCAATAGTTCACACCTGGCATGAAATTTTCCAAGTGAAGAGTGAACCAGAGTAACATTTTAGAAATTAAAAACTGATAAACAATTATTATATAATTAAAATTAAAAATTAAATTTTATTAAATCAACCATTTATATACTTGTATAAATACAAATAAGTAGTTATGTTCTGTAAACTGTTACACAGTTCTTTGTGCTAGGAATGTTGCTATTTTTATAAATCAACTATTGAAATACTGTTTATTTGGCTCTTATAAATAAACTAACGAATTTAGTGAGTGATTCTCCATAACCATAAATACCGCTTACCACATTTGATAGCTTTACCATATCGCATAAGGCAATACATGATTTGGTACGAAGAAAATTGCATAAAGATATNTTTCATCTTATTTTTTTTATTTTCACTTCAAATATCAGTTTTAGTATTAATGTATTGTATAAGTAAAATTTATATTTGTAATAAATGTTTGAAATTTGTTATATTTGCAGAAATAATAACCATTGAACTACAGATTAGAAATCCTCTTGCCATACCATTAGTTTTGACTAATGTTTTCCTGTTATGGACTTTTATACCAAAAGACAGTAGTCAGGAAAGTACACACTTGACAAATGAAACTTCATCATTCAAGGTTAGTTTTAAACAATAATTATACTGTATTTTGTGTTACTCTTAGTGACAATAATGTATAAATATTTTATTAGAAATTAAAAAGAATTATCTTTCGGTCAATATATGAATCTAAGTTTAACCGAAAGCGTTCCAGTCAGTAAATTCAAATTTCTGCTAGGACTGTGGTGTTCCAACACTCTTCCCCTCCCTCCAAACTGAACTGTAGGCCTAGTTTATATGTATTACATTATGTAAGATATGTATTTGTAAGACGTGTGATACAAATTATACACAGTACAGTTTTGTGTTTAATATATTTTTTTCTAAATGATCAGTTATCTGAACAACCCCAGTCCTAAATTGTTTCGAATAATCGATGCTCAACTGTATTTTTTATATTTTAAAAATTAATTTAAATATTCCATAAAGAAAAATTGATTACAATAAACCACATACTTTAAGAGAGAAATATATGAAAATTATTATTAAAAATATGATCAAGAAATTTTTTAAACTGCCCTGTGGACACTAGAGGCCATTTTTCCATAACCATATTCCAACCGAGCCCACAATGGAGACTGCCATATGGCAAGGGATGGGCCCAACATTTGGAACAAATTACTTGAATTCCCGGGAAGCCGACCGTTTGGATTTGATCCCAGATTCCCCAGAGCAATAGGCCAACACCTTAACCTCCAATGCTATTCAGCCATCATTGTAAATTTCTAATTGGTAGTTTAAACATTGCAAATAAAATTAAAGTCACAATTCTTAAAGTCTGCTTTAGATAATTATTTATAATTAATTTCAGCATTATTTACTGATCATCCAGGGTTTGTAGACTCTCATAAATCGAAGTTATGTTTTAAGATGTATTTTCATTCTGAAGCATTAAATATAAACACATTGTTTAAAAAAGTGTTCAATCACCAAGAATTTCACATCTATATAATCAGAATATAGAAGAAATTTGTGAAACGCCGTAAAATGTTCAAATGTGAGGTTTTCTGTTCCGAAAACATTAGACATAAAAAAAATAGCATTTAATCATTCAAATCACTGAATATTTGCTATTTATATAAGCCGAGCCGAGACTCCATAAAGTTATTTACATAAGAATGTAAAAATGCAAAAGAACATACTTATTCTACAGCATTGCTTAAAACCAGCATTTGTAAGCTGATGTAAAGGGCTTGTACAAAGCCATTTACATTGATTAATAACATAAATAACAAATTCCTTCCATAGATTCAACTTCACATAGACTAACTATATGAAAATTGAATATACGGGAGGAGTTTCAGCAGGAAATTTTCCTTTAAATAAAGGAAAAATTTCTTGCATTAATTCTTAGTAAACTGCACCTACATTATTTTGTAAACAAGGAAATTTCCAGTTTAAACTGATCAAATGATTATGAAATCAAATATAATGAATAAATATAAAAATTCATGTAATATTCTTCATCTAGATGCATAAAATAAGCTTAAAATGTGTAAAAATTGTCAATGTAATTCATGATTTTATTCAAAAACATGGTGCTTGAAGGGAATATCAAGGAAGTAACCTGAACGAGGAAAATATATTGTATTGTTTTAATAATAAACGATAAATAGATTCATATTATGCATTTTACAATAAATAACGTATTAAATAACTTACATTTAATAGGCATTTTGATTAAATTTCAGAGCAGAGTGTATCTCTCACACCTTCTCGCGGTAAACACGCCGGCAACTCTCGGTCTAATCTATTGGTCAATCGCGTAACATACTTTTCTTACGATAATTCTTATCGGTTGTAACAGTGACCTCATATTTCTCTATCTCTGATTGGACTTACCTCTTCCGATACAGTAAACATTTAACGTCATCATAATTAATAACTTTTATAAAATTTAATTAATATTATAAATTTTTATTTATTTTTGCTCTAGAATAATTATTAATATAAAATTTATATTGTATATTCTTATCATTTGGTATTTTAAGGTCACTTCGGCGTTCGGTCGTTTGAGGTCAATGGTCGAAGTGTCATTAAAATGTTTTATAATTTAATAACAGTAATAGTATTAAATGTATTTTTTTATTTGTTGTATTTTAAAATTAAAATGTTATTTATTCATATTTATTAATTTAAATTGAAAAAATATTGTTTAAAAAATGAAGTCAACGCGTGGCCGCCATTTGCCTGGAATAGAGATTTAATGACTCCATTAGATTTGTTTAGATATATGTTTTAACTTCCTTAATATTAATTAAGCTAAATTTAAATACTTAAGAACCAATAGCGAAATATATTAGTTATTTATTAATGACTGACCGGTTAATTAATAATTATTTAGTTTTGATTTAAATTGCCGAAATGTTATGCGAAGTTGATACTATATGATATTATATATGTTATATATTCATAACATATAGTATATGGTACGCATGATACACGAGACAGCATGGAACGAATGTCTTTATGATTGTATTACATCGCCAGTTTCTCACCACCCGGCACCCTCATTGTGGGCCTGCCCGAACCCATAATGGGCTTGCTAAAAGAGGCCCTCTTAGTGCCCACAAAGCGGAAAGAGTTTAAACAATGAGCACCTGTCGAGGCTCCCGAAGAGGACTTTGCGTGGAAAATAGCTCTTATTAGGGTGTTAAATAATAATAAAAAGAAAACACATCTTAATGTCTACCCTTAAATGTTTAACTGAATACATCTGTAGCTTTCAAAATATATTCTTTTATTTTAAATCATTAAAATAAAATTAAAAAAAGTAGACTATATGTAAATATAAACTCCGTTAGAAAATCAATAATACATGTACTGTACAAGGACAACTAAAACTTGGCACAGAAAGAAGTATACAACTCAATAAAGTTCTTATGTATCGTATGCAAAGTTTTCTCATGTAAATATCACAAAATCATAAATAATGCCCTGAAATTCCCTGAGGAAATTATCAGAAACGACAAGGAAGAAATCAATGACAAGGATTTCCTTCGATGATCGCATTTTTCAATTTTAATCTTAACACAATGGGTTCTACACTAGGCGTACATTCTAAAGGATTTTCTGTAATTATAAAAGAAATATTAAATCATTAATCTTTAAAAATTAATAAAATACTTATAAATAAAAACAAAACCAACCTGATATATCCATTATCTTCAGACTATTTTGATTTCTAAATTGGCATTCGGGATGATGATGATGATCTGTCCGATTAGGATTCAAAAAGTCCAAGTTCTGTATTATATTATGGGAAAGATTCAGAACTTTTAATACGTTGAGGCAATCGAAACTGGCATCCATTTTGACCAAGTTATTTCCATTTAGATTGAGAATCCTTAATTTCTTCAACAGCCTCAAAGAATTTCCTAAAGTATTGAATTGGTTTCTGGATAAATCCAAGATCTTCAAGTCGATCAATGGCTCAAATTCATCTTCGTTTATTTGAGTTAATAAGTTGCGAGAAAGATTAAGCTTGAATAAGCTATCTAATCCTATAAAATTATGATTCAAAGTAGTTATGCGATTTTCGGATAAGTCCAAAATTTCCAATTTTGACAAGTTGTGTAGTGAATTATCTAAATTTTCAAGCTTATTCCTTCCAAGTAGCAACATATTCAAGCTATTGAAGTTGGCTAACTCGTCATTTAGGCTTTTAATATTGTTGTTGGATAATATTAACCATTCCAATTGAGTTAGATGAATCAAGGATCCGTTGAGATTCTCAATATGATTATCGCTTAAGCTCAAAGATTTTAAATTGAGAGGAAAGGCTCTAGAATCGATACGACTTAAGCTGTTATTATTTAAAACTAGAGTGATGAGATTTAACTGCCGTAATGATTCTTTCACCTCCGAGATGCGGTTGTTAGAGATGCTTAAGGTTGCAAGTTCGTGCAAAGGTAGCAATGAGTTGATAGGTATTTCTTGTAAGCTTCCTTCTGTAATTGATAAAAAATACAGACAATTTGCTTGATTCAGGAACAAAGGATCGGGTATTTCACTCAATTGTTTAAGTTGTAAGACGAGTCTACGGATGCAAACATCTTGAAAAGCATCACTCGTTAATCCGATCGAGTCGTGCGTTATGGTTAAATGTGCAATAGGCGAAGGGAAAGTCCTTAAAACTCTTTGCACTTGGCTCATATTGTCGAATTTCGAACAACTCAGGTACATAAAAGTAAGGAAACCCTCGCATGTGCATGGTTCTACGTCTTCTGGACATAAATCTGAAGAGTCTAGACTAGAAGACATAGCTAAAACTGATGACACTACGTATAAAATGGACCACATCTTGGAGGTTGAGTTTAAATTAATTTGCTTGTTAACTGTGTGCAGCTTGTCTTTTTATATCCTTGAAGTAGGTCGTGATTGGTTGGCGCATTCGACAGGAAACCCGAGATGTAGCTTTGTTTTTTTTTCGTTTATTTCTTTTTTTAAAAAACATATTTTACTCCTTCCTCCTCGACTGTTGATATAGAAAAACTGACAAATTTTATTAATAAAATCGATTGTTCGATAGGTAAAACAATAATTGCAAATTGCAATTTTCAGTAAAACATTTGAAAAATTTTAAACGAAATGATGCAATAGGTCAATTTCTGACATCACACCAGAACTGACAGGTCGTGTGTATTACGCAATCGGTCACATGACACGCTGGCTTTGTTTTTGTTCCAAACAGGAGTAACGTAACGCTTTCTTTGATTACATCATACACCGCTGTATGCAAATTATCCATAAAATAATGGAAAAAAACATAAGAAATTTTAATGTTTAAATGATATTATGTATACACTAACATAAATTATTTTAGTGCAAGCTGTAAATTCCCTATAAACACATGTTAAATGATACTTTAATTAAATTTAGGAGCATAGAAACTATACAGTTAACAATGGATGTGTTTTCTTCTATGAGGTATAGGATGGGTGTGCTCCAGATAAAAAAAATAACTGCATTAATCAATAGAAAATTATACCTTACACTAATGCAAAAGGTCTTCTTATTCTATAAATACTGTACATACATTTGTATACACTTTTATTTGTTTTTTAATTGAAAAATACATTTAACAAGCTCCATATATCAGTAGAAAGTTAATTAATATGCATCAAAATTAATATGCAATGCACATTTTCATTTTATTTTATATAATACATACTTTTATAGATTTAGGAAGTAATTTTATTTTAAGTTTATACAAGTTACTAATTAGGACAAGGTAATATCTGTGTCGCAGGCAATTTTTATATTCAAAAATAAAATTTATATGCTTGTAATTGTAGAAATTAAGCATTTTAATTATTTTTTTAAGGTGTTAATATCTTTATCATAAGATAAAATTTGGTTATAATTACAGATTTAGGACTGCTAAGTAGAGGCAATGGCTGTAGATGTGCATCATACTCCTTAAAAATTAAATATTAATAATTATTTTCTAGAAATTATATTATTTTTTCATTTATAATCATCATAGGAAAAACTGTTTGTAAGTTCTCTACATTTGCATTGAATCTGCCTGTGCTGTATATGTAGTACCAATGCAAGTGTTGATAGGAATTATGATAATAATATCTATTTAAAAATTATATTACACTATAAAACAATAAAAAATTGGCATTTTCATCATGCATAATGAGACAGAAATATAGCAAATGTTTGTAGTTATGCTGTGTGTTCAGATATAGACTACTTAAATACAATAAATTAATATATATAACAGGATTTTCAAGAGCACAATATTGATTTAAATTCAGGTATAATTTATGGTAGAAAGTTTTAAAATTTACAGGATGTTCAATGTATCTACAAACTGATTTTTGGGCCATCCTATAGATCTAAATCTCTCTTGTAATTCAATATATTCATGTATTGTACTTTATTTTGTATAATAGAATCGTGGATATGGCCTCAGATGCTAGCAAACCGACGTAGCTTCAAATTCGTGCAGTAAAGTCAAACACAGGGGAAATTATGGGAGAGAGATTTAATTAACTGGTTCAAGGGAATATTAAAGTTATACGGATGCTGATTGCAATATTTGGAAATAAACAAGCATAACTATTATTGTGTATGATATTAAGAATGCTTTCGAGACTCTTAATATATTCTGCTATGTTCGAAAGATTATCTCCTTTTTTAAGTTCAGTTTCATCAATATCTCCGTCCTCACTCTTCTTTAGTGCTATATGTAATTCATTGTAATGTTTACCAAGAGTACTGTAGTTTAAATGTTTGAACTTAAAAATATGATATAAAAAATTGAAAATTCTGTGCTGTGTTCATTAATTTTAAACCACTTCTTGCAAAGTCACACTTCCGCGCCATTGTGGAACATACATGGCGTCAGGACGTTTTTCTGCATTCTCGATTAGATAGTTAGTATAAAATATAATAACGCATTCCTGTCGATTTTTTTATTGGTTATTCATTTGTCCTTAGCGTACTTTTCACAGTTAAGTTTTGGCCCACCAGTGGACAAGTGATAAAACCACTAAACACTGGTTGCGGATTTGTTCATCATCAATGGGCTGTCCACGTGGAATTTTCCGTACATTTTTTAACATATATAATACCAAAATAGGAGCCAGTTTCCCATGCAAAGTCCTTCTAGCAGGCACCGTCTCTTTGACAAGGGGTAGTGCCTACCAGGACTTTATACAGCCTTTGTACCAGGAGTACCTTTCTGATCCCATGTGTTGAGTTAACTTTTCTATCAATCCAATTCACAGTTAGATTTTTGTGTTTGAATGTTCACAATTTACTGTACTTTTTCCTCTAGTAATGCTAACCAATGTCACGCGTCATAGAGAAGCAGTAAATCGCCTTCTGATGCCCTTCGTACTGTAAAACTAACCTCAAACCCCCACTTATTAGGATTAAATAATCTGCCATTGCTTTTAGTTTTGGTCATGTTGTTATATGCCAAAACTCCACGTATGCATTATCTGTAAATGTATTATATATAATTGGTCCTGCTGCCTGAAACATTATTTTGCTGCATGCTAGATGTCCCACACTAGAATTTAAATCCAGCTAGAGGGTCTATTTTAATAATATCCTTGCTGCCAGGCCCACAATGGCGGTGTCAGGTTGGGGCTTGATATATAGGCCTACGGAATCAACTGTCCATAAAAAATTCCTAGGGTTTTCGTTTCTGAATCTCCGTATTACTAACATGAAGAAAATCAGAAGCATTCTGTAGCTTGAACTTTTCATTTAGAATTATCTTTAATATCTATACTTCCAATTTAATGCAATAAACAGTAAAGTATATTATTATTTATATAATTATAATCTATGTTTCCAGGATCATGGTAACATGCGCATATCTGTGTGTCTATATCTAGTATGAATTTTCAAAATTTAAAACTCTTTCCCACCCTGTAGGCACTAGACAGCCTATTTTTAGCAAGCCATTATGGGTTCCACCAGACCCACAATGGGTAACGAGGGACGAGACTCCCACACATTCATATATTGAATGATATATATTTTATTAAAATGTAAGACTGACGCGAGAAAACCCTCCCATGTGTCATGCAACTTTAAATTAAAGAAGTCAATTCACCAAAAATGCCTTATGTAAGAACAATGTAGTAAATGATTACATTCTCTTGTGCAGGATTTACGAACTATTTTATTATGTATATACTCACCTATTAAGATATTGATGAATAATTCATCTGTAATCAGAAACTATTTGTTCAATATATTATTTTTACCTAGAAAAAATATAGATGATGATAAATTATAAATGAAATAATATCAAAATCTCATAATGAGCAAGGCAATGCTGAAATGTGTTAAAATTTCTTTATATTACGCTTTTATGCAAGTTTGATCGCATTTTTAAAATATCAAACCGATAATTAAATAAACTGTTGATTAATTTTTGAAATTTTACACCGTCTTCAAACAATTTAAAGTAAAAATTTCATGAAATTTGGTTAAAACATTTATTTTTTGTCATGTAAGCAAATCTTTTTTTATTATACATCGAGAAATTAAACGTATCGTTCGGTCGAAGACGCTACACATTTTCACGCCAGACACGGTTCACCAAAAACAAAACAAAAATCAAAACTTTGTTCAGATGTGCATGCAGTTTTCAAATGACGTCAAATAAAATAGAGTCAATATTCGTCGTCGTCGTCCACGGTACTCGTTTGCTGTTGTAATAATAACTGTTGATCTCTCTGGATCTGTTGCCATTCTTGTTGTTCGGCTTCTTGTTGCTGTTGTCTTGCCTTGAGAAATAATTTGAAATTTATTATTAATGAATGTAGTATTTGATGAAGTGATTAAAAATCAATAGATACAGACAATACTCAATTTACATGGTAAATATATTCTTGTGCTGCATAAGTAAAAGATGTGACCATCATTTCAGATCAAGATAATACTAATAAAATAATATAAAGTTTTAAAAACACAATATACACACATATATACATATGCTCATGTGAAAAATAATGCACATGTTAATGTCAATATCAATATTTAATTCATAAAAAAGAATTTGTCTAAATCAAGAATTATCTATAATTTTTAGAGTAAAAGAGAGAAATACACATTTGCCAAAAGTCAGTTAACAGATTATACATTTTAAGAATGGTTAGAATTAGTTTCAAATATTCTGCATGTAGTTATTCACGATAAAGTCGCATCCAATAAAGCAACTAAAATGTGAATAACAACACGCAGCTATTTCAAACAAGTTTTTGACTATTCTTAAAATAATTATAACTTAAATAAATCGACTTTTGAACCATCCTTTGGTTTATGTCCAAATATTTACTAACGTTCCAAAAATACTTAATTCACAATTCAATTTGATTAATTTTTATGATCTAAAACAATTCAAAATAGTACACTTTTCAAAAAATTTCATTTCGTAAGTTTGATAAATTCAGTCATAAAGCTGATTTAACCATTGGAATAATGAATATGTTGTAAGCAATAGAAAAATCACAAGGGATGATACAATTTTTGAACTACAGAGACAATCTTTAGTGAGTAACGGATTTAAGAAGACAATTCATGTTTCTTCAATGTATATTTTTAGTAAAAAGCCGACAACTATTGGATTATATCGAACTATTATATCATGATTATTTTAAGTTAATTACTAAATAATTTATCACTAGAGAGATCTCTTATTAAATTTAATAATTATAATTAAATTAAATAACTTAGAAAATTCTGGAAGAAAAGAATTGGCCTGGAGTGAGGCTCAAACCCACAACTGCCGTTTGTCATGCTAGTTATGCTACCCGAGCCTCCGGTCCGATCTCCTCTTCCGGATATATTTAAGCATGAGATAACAATCTTTGGTTACATACGGCACCATACATTTTTAGTTTGTAAATGCTGTCAGTCAATTTTAATCAACAATATACAAGGTGTATCAGTACAGTGGTTACAAACTTTCAGGAGAGATAGAATACACCTAGACGATGGAAAATCATGTAGCAATGCATGGTCGGAAACGCTTTCCTGTCACGGTAGTGACGACACAAAACACAAGAAAGGAAGGAAATGAACAGGGTGAGAAAACATGTTTACTATTCTTAGTACAGCAAAAATCAAAGAAGGTGTTTGAAATTACAGCCCCGTGCTATGATGCAGGCCTCACATCTCCGTTGCACTGAAGATCTAACATTGTTGAAAATACCAGGTGTCCCGGACTTTCCCAGTAGCTGCCACGATGCATGCAACAAGTTCCAGGAAAGCATTTCTGACCATGCATTGCTATGTGATTTCCCATCGTCTGGGTCTACTCTATCTCTCCTGAAAGTTTGTAACCGCTGTACCGATACACCCTGTATATTAGAAATATAAACATCTTAAACCCAGTAGTTATATATTAAAGTCAAATAACTGCAAGATTATATCAGACTATAATAATAATAATAATACTACTAATTAAATACTATGTAATTTGGCACTAAGAGGCAGGTGTTAGGTGCCATAGCTTGCTAAATTTAATTATTAAAATATTAATTTAAATTATAATTATTAAATCCAGCAAGAGATGGTGCCTAACACCTGCCTCTACAAATTACATAGCAATTAATTAATATTAGTAGTAGTAATATAGCCTGATATAATCTGGCAATTGTTTGGCTTTAATATATATTAGATCTCTTTATATGCACATGAAACCTGATACAAAGAATAAGAAAGTACTTGAGATCAGTTATATTAAAATCATAATCAAAATTATATTATTTTCACAAAATGGCAACTAACATCTGAAACTATTTAAAACAATAAGCACATATTTACTTTATGTGTATGCATCCTCTGCATGCCCCTGGATTGGGCAGATCTAGGGAGTGCGGAGGGTGTGTACACACTCCCTAAAATCAAAATTCTGAGTAGAAAAGAGTTTCCCATAGTACAACTAAAAAGCTAGATTTGCAAATACTAGTTTCAATCAAATAGTGCATTGCAAACTGGTTTATAATTTCCCTAGCAGATAGGTAGCACCCTAAACCTGTAAACCCCCCTACTAGAATAATTGTGATATATTCTTAGTGACAATTATCTTATTGTCTAACACCAGCCAATTGATAGCCCATCCTAAGGCTCCGTAAATCTGGGCTGACTTATGCACCATTTTTAGGCCAAATTAGTGTACCACATGCTTTCTGTAATTTTAGTGTTGAATTTTAAAGCACAATGGTTGTTGTTCTGCAGTTAATGGCATAAACCATTCAAATAGTTATTGGGTTTATAATTATTATTTAACATGTATGCATATTTAATGATTTTACTTTTTAAATATATTAAAGATATATATTTTTTATTAAATTTAAAGACTATCATAAAATATAAGTCCTTACATATACAGTGGTGCTTCGTATAACATACTTAATCCGTTTCAGGTGCACGTCTGTTAAGTGAAAAGTCCGTTATACAAAATGCATTTTCCCATAGAAATACATGTTAAAACATATAATTCGTTCCACAGCATAAAATAACCATACCATAAACAAATGAAAATATAGCAGTCACCAATTATGCCTGGTAGTCAGATGTTGTGAGGAGGTGGAGGAACACTTTTTTCACACATTCATACAGATACAGACTTTTTACACATTGCAGCAGGTCTCTTTTTATTGTTTTTTAATCGGAGTCAGATTCAGGAGAGGCTACCGGAGCTTGCAGGGTCAACTCCTCTTGTTCCATCCTTTGTTTTTTGGCTGCTGGCTTCTTGAAAAACATGTCCAAGGTGGTCTGTTTCTCTCTCTTCTTCAACACTTGTCGGAAATGATGGGCAAGGGTGTCATTGTAGAGATCAATGATCCTGTTGGCCTCAGCTCTGTTTGGATAATGAGTGTTGGTAAACTCCTGAACCTTTCCCCATTTGACAAGGAAGTTTTTGTCAACTTTCACTCCTTCTGATGATTTCTTGCATTGTTTCAATTGAAATCACCTTTCTGTTTTTTTAGAAGCCATGATTTGCACGACACTTGAATAAATGTAAATACCCCCCTTGCACTGAGGTGATGTACTGTATGTAATAAACAAGAGAGCAAGCCGAATCCCAACGGAGCTCTGTACTTCAGATATACTAATAATATATTCTAATAATACGAATATATTATAAAAATAGCAGATTGTCATTGGCAAACGAGTAGAAACATCATTCGCACTTGTTCACAGAAAGTCTGTTGTTCGCAGCCAGTCCGTTGCTCGAGTCACGTAACGGCCAAACAGAAAGTCCGTTGCTCGAGTCACGTAACGGCCAAACAGAAAGTCCGTTGCTCGAGTCACGTAACGGCCAAACAGAAAGTCCGTTGTTTGCAGCGTCCGTTATTTGAGGCGTACATTATACGAGGCACCACTGTATTTATTAAACTCATAATTTAAGTAATTACTATTATTAGTATTTCTTACTGAAGTTAATAATAAAATTTAATGAAGTCATTTTTATATTTACTCGTATGTTGTCATCTCAACATATCCATGGTTAATTAATTGTGAACTACTTACGTTGATATTTGTAACAAATAATAAATTCGTAAAACTTGTACTCGGAAAAAATATGAAATGTCTGTTTTCTCATCAAATTTTAAAAAGTTGTGCTGTTTACAAGTTGGTCATTCTAATAAATATTGATATCTTCGGAGAATTACAACACACTAAATTTATTTATAACTTTCTTATCAGTGATAAACTTTGTAAATAAACAATATTGCTACATAGCTTTGTACGTTTTAGCAGATTTCTATTGCACTTTAATATGCCACGTGCCGAGCGTTGGCCTAAAAATGGCATGTAAGCAAGCCTGGATACTAGGAATCCTAGCCTGGCCGACTCATCACTGAAGACACGGACTGTCAATCAACCATTAGCCCAGCGATGTGCAACTTGCACACAATTTAACTGCTGATTTAACCGGAGCCTGACTTGATTTAAAACGGTGACAAGTTATTGCTCCTGTGTCTAAATAAAAGCATCAACAAATTACAAATATAAGTTGCTGCTTTATATGTAATTGAGAAAGACATTTTGCTTTTCTGTAGCGTGATTTTTCTGATAAAATATTAGAAGAACACCTCCAAATGAAATTCCTGGATCTGCCCCCATTCATATATAGTTCTATTTACTAAATTATATTAATGATTCTGGAGTGTGATGACTCCAGGTGGATAAATTAATTAGCTAAACAAAGATATATTGAAAGAAGCCAGAACATATCTATTTTATTAAATGAATGGTTAATGTTTTTGGAATGTTTGTTATTCCATCATTTGAATTGCAGTGTTTATTAAATTTCAAAGGTCTACTGATAGAATTACAAACATTCTTGTAATTCTAGAATGTTCGTAACTCTATCAGTAGACCTTTGAAATTTAACTTCTTGAAAACTTATTATTATTATACTAGAACAACTGTGCTAACCATTTCATAATCTAAATTTAAAAAATACATCAAGATTAAAGTTACTTTAGCAAATAATTCTTGCTGAACTCTAAGCAATTCTTCTTCTGGAATACCCAAATTTTCTAATCTTGTACTTTGCCTTCTACGTTTTGCTGCAACAGCTTTACAGTCTTTTAAAACAGCTTCCGCTTCTTCTTTATATGCTCCAAAACCAACATTTTCTAAAGCTAAGAATATACACAATTATATTATTTTTTTTCTCTACATTATCTTGATTCAAATATAATTCTTTTACCTGTTAATACATGTTCTGCCGATATTGTTTTCTTTTGCTGTTTATTACAAACTTCATTCGCTTCCGATGATATATGATGAATAAATTCTGTGCAACAATTCAAAAGTAGTTCTCGAGCGTCATTTGCAATTCTTATCTGCGGTAAGAGTTCCTTAATCATTTTGTTCATTGCAGCTCTGGGAATCGTCAATTCCTCGTCATTTTCTGCCATTGTCTCTGGAAAATTAATTTTAATTTCAAATTACAAATTATAGAGTTATTACTTAATACTGTGCAGCAATCATAAGCTCAGTAAGGTGCTAGTTGTGATGAAAATGATTGCTCATTGCCCATTTTCATCACAGCTAGCCTAACAATTTTTCTTTAAAATGGGACTCAAGAAAAATTACTGTTCCCTAGTTGGAAAATCATGGAAAACACTGCTTTAATGTATGTCAATGGCTGTGAGTATGTATACAAGACTGAAACTTATAGCTGACAGAAGGAAAAATGTCTACAAAATTAATTTAGCTAATATTACATGAAAAATTTGTTAGATTTGAAAAATTATAACATAAGATACATAGAAAAGTAAATGCTATTATTCCGATAAAGTGGTCTGTTTTTGCACAAGGTGCAATAAAAGAAATTCAGGTACTCAAACAACAATGGGTGTTAGAATACACGTCAGAGTTTTCTCCATGGAGAGGAAATGCTGCCAACTTCCTGCTATAAACTGCTTGAGTTTCATAGCAATTTGTCCATTAGTATTCAAGTAACAGTTGACTAATGACTGTATAACTTATTCAATTTTTGGTTTTAAAATGCATGACATTAAACAAAGAATGTGCATTCAATCTTGTTGGAAACTTTAAAAGTGGTGCAGAAGCATTTTAAATGCTGCAAACAACCTTTGGGGATGCTATCATGTCTATTAGGGTATACGAATGATACAGGTTATTTAACAATGGTCAAACATTGATTGAAAATGATAGACCATGAAAATCTTCAACCGCCACTGCAGACACCTGGAAACAAATTGCACAAGAACTTTTTGAAAAGGGTTGAAACAGATGAAAACTTTTTGAAATTAGTCATAATGGGAGATGAAAAATAGGTTTACTGTAATGATCCAGAAATGAAGTTGCAATCAAATCAATGGAGGAAGAAAGATGAGCTGTTTGCATGCTAAGATAATGCTCATTGTCTTCTTCAATTACTATACACTAATCATTATACACTATTAATTTGTCCCCAAAGTAAATGCAATGTTTAATTGAGGTGTGTTGCGATGTTTACATGAAGCAGTTCCGTCGAAGAGCCAGATTTGTGGAGAAATAAAACATGGTTTCTTCATCACAATAATGCCAGACTACACCCACTTCACTCATTTAAGAATTTTCAGTGCATAATTCTCTTCCGGTGGTTCTAGAACTGCTATACACATCTAACCTCTTACTAGCTGCTTTTTTTTTTCTTCTTCCTTGCCTTAAGCAGGAACTAAAGGGATGACATTTCAAGATACAAAAGGAAATAAAAATAAAATAAAAAAAAAAGCTAAGTGAATTCCTACATCTCAAATTAGTACGCGGCATTATACATTGAAACCATAACGTAGATAATTTGAAAGACTTGAAGAAATTTGCATTATTTTCAAATCACAATATTAAATTCAAAGAAATTATTATGATTTAATCTTTAATTGAATATTGTTATCAGCTAGAAATATTTATTTACTTAAACAAAAGTTTCAATTTGAATTTCATCATATCAGTGTTTAAAAACTAGGCCTAGTTATTATTGCTACAAGAATGACAAATATTAAGATCATAAATCTTGTTTAAGACATTAATGTAGCTTACTTGAAGAGAAAATATAGTAACATATCTTTAGAAAAATTACTTATTTTATGTTATATTATTAAAAAATTCAAAATTATATGAATATTTTCACATTAATGTATTATACTTGCAAGATTTATTAATGCAATGTATAATATATTAAGAACGTAGGTTAAGGTATATATTGAAAAAAGTGGAAAAAGAACATTATTAAAATAATTTGGCAACAGCATCATATTTTGAATGTCAGGTAATGTGAGCTTATGTTTTTACAATGCAAAATTTTCCCACTGACTTAACATGGGATGACATTTGATCCCACCGATATATTCCAGGTCTAAATTTTAAAATTCAGCTTCTGTCATGACACATCATTTTATCGCTTCTATTAATGTGCAAAAATTGTGATCTTAATTTAAATAATGCTCCCTTATAATATGTAATAATAAATGGATGATATTATACATGTAAAAATCAAAATAAGATTATAAAAAAAACTTATAAAATTGATCACAGATTAAAAAATGATTTGTTTAATGGTATATGACATCAGTTTCCAAATAATGGAAAACCAAATGATGCAAAGTTCCTTTACATTAATTACTAGTTTGAATTAATACTGGTATATTAATTCAAACTAGTAATTATGCAAAGGATTAATTTTTGCAGGTGATTTCATTGGAGGATATGGTAAAATCTCAACTAGTGAGAGAATCTAATGCATTTCATTTTTTGCAAATTGCTAAACACTTAAGTATTTGAATATCGCTACTTCCTGTAACCATTTTTTCTGATGAATGAACACTTCACTTTTTAAATACAAAAATCAAATACATGGTTCAATTCTCTCACCATTAGATTCAATGGGTTTTATTTTCCACAAATGTGAGTTTTGCAGTCTGTGCATAAGTTCCCTATTTCTATAGAATATTAATAATTTCTGAAACTTCATTTAAATAAATTTTTCCTACATTTTGCTTCTGTATTCTTTTAATAAGTGCCTCAATCTCTTTTCTGTGGTATCCCTGTCGCACTGCTGCCTTTTGTATGTAATCTAATTCCTCATATGTATCATATAAACTCGTGCAGTGGGTGTACACTCTTTTAATTCATGCTCTAAACGCCGCATATTTAACGTGCTCAGTGTCTGTCAAATTCTTAGGGATGATAATAGATTGATAAACCAGATTGCGATATATGCCTGTCCATATTTCCCCTTCCTTACAAGTAATCGATATATCCAAGAAGTTAACATTCTTTTCGCTTTCTTGGTCCAAACCCAAAGTCAACCCATATGGGTTATCATTGATCTTGTCTATGAAATTCGAAAGTTGCCAATAAAAATAAGTTATGAATAATATATCGACGCAATCCAACTGTGTATGGAATGTTAAGGAATGACAAGAAGAAGGATAATCGGAAGGATAATCAAAATAGCTTGGACGGGTATATATTTTTCCTACATATTTTAAAAGCATAAATTAAAGTTCAAAAGCAAATTTTATTGTACAACACAAAATTTTATTTGCAAAACTCTAGAGTCCCATGGAACACAAATTATGGCAATGCAACATATAGAAAATCTGCCAATGAAGAATGCCTTTTGGGAAGACCTTACATAGGAATCTGACCCTATTTAGGTGTTAGACATGCAAAGAAAACTAAAAAAAAAAAAAAACCCATGTAACCAGCCTACTGGTGAGACATCAACCCACAATCAACTACCAGTGTTCAGTGTTTTTATCTACTTAGCCACTGAGGGGTCAAACACAATCTCTGCTTTGCAATATTAGTATTTAGTTAGGGTTGTAACCATTCCTGTGTGATATAAAAAGCAAAAGAAAGCCAGTATAGGGGCAATTCTTTGCAAGTTATTATGCTCCAAATATTTCCTTAAATCCCTTCTAGTTTAACCAGTCATACTCAAAAACTGGTCCTAAGGTTTTAAAGGTTCCTTTTAATTACAGTGAAAATCTGTTAACCCTGCATCCAGTATGCTGGCATGTCGTCACTGGGGGTTATCTGTGCATTAGGCAGGTCCAGAGTTAAGATTTTCATGTAAAAGTATCCAAAATGTGCAATTCTCGAAAAGGAATGAGGGTTCTCCTCTTAGAGATGACAAATGCCAACATGACACGATGCCGTGATAGATAAAACCAGTTAGTTTATGAATGATTTTTCTAAAGACTTTTCTAAAGACATTAGAGCATGTTTGATACAAGCAGAAGAAATATTTAGTCCACTTGGAATCAATAATTATCAGAGAAACAGCTATAGTACATTTCTTTTCATGCACTTTGATAATTGAGTATATCTGCATTTATACATAATAAAAGTGTATAGAGCACAAAGTAAGAATAGCACTCTCGTTTCAAGCCAACCAAGGGTAGGAATTGCCTGGAAAATTTGAAATGGCATATTAAACAATCATAAAAGGTAGATTTGTACAGTTTTAAATGTGAAAATATGTAAAATTGTATCTGGGAATCGAAAAAACTTCAACCGTATAATAAGGCACCGCGTCGATCCCGGGTTAACAAAACGTCACCCTATTTGCCACAAAATAACCTCATAATCTGTGCAATAAGTACCTTTAATAAACAATTTAATTTTGTTACTGTAAACTACAGCCAATTTAATACTTCAAAAACGTTTAAATCACTCAAAAATGAACTTTTAAAGTATTTTCTGCCTTTGTGATTTCATATAGTGTGTATTTAACGGTTAATATTACGAATTAACTCTTTAAATATGTAACATATGCACATTTAACAGGGAAAATATGCCATTATTGACATCAGATTGTCAATGATGACAATCTTAATATTTCTTTCAGAAATTAAAAAAAAAAAACCTTTAAATTATAATAAGATGAAGGTGAATCATTCAATGCTTTGTGTATATTCATTCAATAAGTTAAAACAGATAGAAATGCATTGTTTCAAGTGTTTATAGTGTTTATACGAAGGAAATTTATTAGAAATTCATACGTACGATCGGTATTACGTTCCCGAGTTAAATTAAATCTCATGTGGTTAAAAGTAAACAGTTTCTAAACTAATCACGCCCAGTAATTCGGGACGACGAACAACAACATTCCACCTTCCACACAAATGATAGAAGCCATCTTGAAAAGCAAAATCAGTGTTGCCAGCTCGTATGACTGTTCTTATATAAATTTTAATCTCTCTATATATATTTTAATTTTGTACGCATATAAAATTAACTTAATTTAAATTTTTAGTTAAAAATTAAAAATAAATTATAATATCGTTACAATTAGCACAAAAGTCGAATGTTTATAAAAAATGATTTAATTGAAAAAAATTATGTACTTAAATTAAAGAAATGGTTTTGCATTAAATTTAAAATAATTTTTATTAAAATTATTTATAGTGAAATAAAGTTTGATTAAATTTTAAATTTGTGCTTCAGAAATGTCGACGACATTTTGGCTAGTTTTTTTTATTTATTAAATCGGATTCTGTTCCGAGCGCCATTTGTCATTTGAGTACGCAAGAATCATGCCGAAGGTCGTGTCGAGAAGTATTGTTTGTTCGGATACGAAAGATCAAGAAGAATATAATGAAGAGAAACCGTTGAATGTTTATTACTGTTTGTGTGGAAATATGGCTTTGATTTTAGGTAAGACATAAGTATAATTTTAAATGAATTCTGTACTATGGAGGTAAAGGTTCACGTAGGTAAAATTGCAGTTCTGAATGAGAGGTTTTGACCCCCTAGACCTATGGGCTAGTCCAATCCTGTAAAATATGAGTTGAGCCGAGCCCATAGGTCCCCCTAGAGTCTAGGGCCTAGACTCTAGGGGGACCTATGGGCTTGGCCCCACTCTGAATGAGGTGTTACTACCCCCATAATTGTAGATCCCCTAGTACGAGCAAAAAAGGGCTCAATTCAAGCTCAGAATGATATGTTTGGGATCTTATCAGATCTATAGAGAGGATAACCATAGGAGCAAAAAAGTCAAAGGAACCATAGCTCTACATGTGACCCTTTGCGAGATATACCCCCCAAAATTACTCTGTGACATTCTTATGCTTGTTTTCCTATTTCCAAACCTTCCCACAGATGTGTATTTGTGGAAACTCATTAAAATGTTTAAAATTTGTTGGGACAGAAGAGTCGTATATGTGCTTTAAGACACTACAGTAAAACGTGTTTTCAAAACATATGAATGTTTCTGTCAAATTGAAATTAGAAACGATATAATTAAAAAAAGGAACAAAAAAAGTTTTTGTAGCCATCTTGAAAACAGCAAGAACCATGTGACAATTAATGGGGCTATGAATGGTAGCAAAATTTTTTCACACAAATTGTAGCAAAGAAGCTTGACAGTTCCAAACTTCAAAGCAATTTGCAAAATGGTAAAATTTGCCAGAAACGATATCATGTGTGATGTGTTATTCTGTCCGTTTTTATGCTTTTGCCAGCAAATTGTGCTCAGTATGAACTAAACTTTACAGTAGCTAAAGATTTGGGCATTGGATCGGCTGCTTTTCATGGCTAATAAAATACTTATCTTTAAATGAAGAATGATAAATGGACGATTATGGTATTGATATTTACATAAACATCATTTAATAATTATATAAACGGCTTGCTGTATATTATATTACAATTGTAAATTCGTCTCTGTAATCCAAAAACACACTTTGGTAGACGTATCTTACAGCAATATCTGGTTAGCAAATTATCTTTTATTTTTCATTGGATTACAATTGTAATATCATTTAATAAGCCAAATTATAAATTTTCGTCTATAAACAAGTATTCATTATTATCAATGTAAAGTACTATTTTTAGTGTTTTGCTCTACAACGAGTTTTTTTTTCTTAAAGAGCCGGGACCTAACGGGTACTTTACGCGGGTTCGCGTTTGTTAGTTGCCAGGCCTGGACTTTTCGCATGCACCGAAATAAAGTAAGGACAAAGTTAGTCACAAAAATCTCAATAATAAATGTTTAATCAAATCTAACAAATACTATGTACAAGTTTTAGAAACAAACAACAAATTTATTAAATAAGAAATCAAATCACAATCAACCCGACAAACTTAAGTCTTATTCTAACTTAGAAACTATTCCCCTTGGAATTCCGACAAAACAAAATTCAATCTTAACTTAGTTACAAATTCTCTTATAACTATCGATCCTAACCGTCACCTCAATTAATACTCGGAACCTTTTTCCTCCACTCAAGACTTTCCTCTTTTCCTATCGTCAAAATCGAACCTTCAATTTCCTACTAGGATTTCCTATTCGACACCTT